CTTGCCTTTTAAGCAACTCACATATAACAGTCCTAGTTCTACGCGATTCTGTGGATCACATTCTCTTGTGCTTAGAGCTTGCCTTTGGATTGATGTTTGTCTATCACAGTGGTTCCCAACCTTCTTTTGACTAGGGACCACTTGACCAGAGATCACTTTGACCAGGGACACTCTCCAACATTAGTATCAAAAAGGATATCAATCAGTTTTTGGTCAACTTTAGATTTAGTTTGGTTATTTAGGGTGCTAATTCGGAAAACTGAATTGGATCGACCACATCAGCTCTAGTTTCTGATACAGAACATATACCATCCAGTAGTCGCCATCTGCTTATTAATTATATTTCATAATCTAGAATTCATGTGGTCGATCCAATGCAATTTTCTGAATCAGCACCCAAAATAACCCCAGAAACAGGCCTAAAAACGAAGACACCAAGGCGCCCCCTGCTTCCAGGCGCCACATGGAACAGCTCCCCTCAGGAGGATGGAGGAGGAGAAGCAGTAGTCAGGACGCTTGTTGTCACACCTTTTGTGGGTAGTCAGCCTCTCCTCTTCCGACATCCCTGTTGCCTCAGCACTATAAGAGGGTTTTGTGAAACCAGTCGCTCTTGTTGCAATGGTGTGGCAACGGTGAGGCTGCAGACCATATTTTAGTTCTTGTGGATCACTGGTGGTCCACGGACCGCAGGTTGGGAACCTCTGGTCTATCATGGCCAACCCCCAAAGTGTTCAGTTTAAGGCCCTCTTGATCAGACTTGCCATGCCATTCAGCTCATCTGTAACCAAGTATCCTCTGTGTAAAAGAAAGTGAAGGTTCCAGAAATCAAATCTCTTCCATTTTCATTTATTAAGGAAGTGTATGTGGTCAGAGAAGTACTTATGAACAACATTTTTAGTGTATTATTACAGTGTGTTCTGCAAAAGTTCCAATTTATTCATTAAACCAAGACATGGGGAGATTTTATGTTTCTACAACTTATGAAAGGACCATAGACATTATTGCCGTAGCACGGGGGTCATAATGTGTTTTTGTCATTATTCTGTTTCCTGTGTTATCTTCATGAGGTGCATAATTCCTAAGATTTTTATCTTCATGGTTCCATACCAACAACCTTCTCAGAATCTGAGATGTTACAAACTTATTTATAAATCTAATTTCAAGGAAACATGGTCTAAGTCACTGAATTGTAGGCAAATGACATTGTGTTTTACTTGTGTTTTTCCTTTTAGTTCCTCATTATTTATCTTGTTACAGAATGATTTCATTGGAAGCCTGATTTTCAGCATATTGCATTACATTATAATGATACATATGTGTGATGTTTAGTCATTAGATTGATTAAATTTGGAGATGTTTTTAGCAACTTGGTTTTGTGTCTCTAGATACAATTGCCGTGTAATTCTTGCCTTTTCAAATAAGGATTAGTATCACTCACCTTCAACGTTGACCTATTAATAAAGAAAAAGTGTGATTTCAAGCCAAAGATACCTGTTCATTCTGTGTCATTAGGCATAGTAAAGTAAAATTTAGAAAAATAGAAAGGAAGAATTTTAAAATTATTTTTGTTGTTGTTGTTGTTCATTCGTTCAGTCGTCTCCGACTCTTCGTGACCTCATGGACCAGCCCACGCCAGAGCTCCCTGTCGGCCGTTACCACCCCCAGCTCCCTCAAGGTCAGTCCAGTCACTTCAAGGATGCCATCCATCCATCTTGCTCTTGGTCGGCCCCTCTTCCTTTTGCCTTCCACTTTCCCCAGCATAATTGTCTTCTCTAGGCTTTCCTGTCTCCTCATGATGTGGCCAAAGTACTTCAACTTTGTCTCTAGTATCTTTCCCTCCAGTGAGCAGTCGGGCTTTATTTCCTGGAGGATGGACTGGTTGGATCTTCTCGCAGTCCAGGGCACTCTCAGCACTTTCCTCCAACACCACAGCTCAAAAGCATCGATCTTCCTTCGCTCAGCCTTCCCTAAGGTCCAGCTCTCACATCCGTAGGTGACTACAGGGAATACCATGGCTTTGACTAGGCGGATCTTTGTTGCCAGTCTGATGTCTCTACTCTTCACTATTTTATCGAGACTGGACATTGCTCTCCTCCCAAGAAGTAAGCGTCTTCTGATTTCCTGGCTACAGTCTGCATCTGCAGTAATCTTTGCCCCTAGAAATACAAAGTCTGTCACGGCCTCCACGGTTTCTCCTTCTATTTTCCAGTTGTCAATCATTCTTGTTGCCATAATCTTGGTTTTTTTGATGTTTAGCTGCAACCCGGCTTTTGCGCTTTCTTCTTTCACCTTGATTAGAAGGCGCCTCAGCTCCTCCTCGCTTTCGGCCATCAGAGTGGTGTCATCTGCATATCTGAGGTTGTTAATGTTTCTTCCAGCAATTTTCACCCCAGCCTTGCATTCATCAAGCCCCGCACATCACATGATGTGTTCTGCATACAAGTTAAAAAGGTTGGGTGAGAGGATGCAGCCTTGCCGTACGCCTTTCCCAATCTTGAACCAGTCTGTTGTTCCGTGGTCAGTTCTGACTGTTGCTACTTGGTCCTTGTACAGATTCCTCAGGAGAGAGACAAGGGCTTGGGATGCCCATCCACTAAGAACTTGCCACAATTTATTATGATCCACACAGTCAAAGGCTTTAGAATAGTCAATGAAGCAGAAGTAGATGTTTTTCTGAAACTCCCTGCCTTTCTCCATTATCCAGCGGATATTGGCAATCTGGTCTCTCGTTCCTCTGCCTTTTCTAAACCCAGCTTGAACATCTGGCAACTCTCGCTCCATGTATTGCTGGAGTCTTCCTTGCAGGATCTTGAGCATTACCTTACTGGCATGAGAAATAAGGGCCACTCTACGGAAGTTGGAGCAGTCTTTTGCATTTCCCTTTTTTGGTATGGGGATATAAGTTGATTTTTCCCAGTCTGATGGCCATTCTTGTGTTTTCCATATTTGCTGGCAAATGGCATCCATCACCTTGACAGCATCATCTTTTAAGATTTTAAACAGTTCAGCTGGGATCCCGTCATCTCCTGCTGCCTTGTTGTTAGCAATGCTTCTTAAGGCCCATTCAACCTCACTCCTCAGGATGTCTGGTTCTAATTCATTCACCACACTGTCAAAACTATCCTCAATATTATTATCCTTCCTATACAGATCTTCTGTATAGTCTCGCCACCTTCTCTTGATCTCTTCAGCTTCTGTTAGGTCCCTGCCATCTTTGTTTCTTATCCTACCAATTTTTGCCTGAAATTTACCTCCAATGTTTCTAATTTTCTGGAAGAGGTCTCTTGTCCTTCCTATTCTGTTGTCTTCTTCCACTTCCATGCATTGCTTATTTAAAAATAGTTCCTTATCTCTTCTGGCTAACCTCTGGAATTGTGCATTTAACTGGGCATATCTCCCCTTATCACTGTTTCCTTTTGCTTTCCTCCTTTCTTGGGCTACTTCCAGTGTCTCAGCAGACAACCATTTTGCCTTCTTGGTTTTCTTTTTCTTTGGGACGTACTTTGTTGCCGCCTCCTGAACAATGTCGCGGACTTCTGTCCATAGTTCTTCTGGGACTCTGTTTACTAAATCTAGTCCTTCAAATCTGTTCTTCACTTCCACTGTATATTCGCTAGGAATGTTAGTGAGATCATATCTAACTGGTCTGTGTATTTTCCCTGATCTCTTTAGTTTTATTCTAAATGAGCAATAAGAAGTTCGTGATCTGAGCTACAGTCAGCCCCAGGTCTTGTTTTCACCGACTGGATGGATGTCCGCCACCTTTGGCTGCAAAGGATGTAGTCAATCTGATTTCGGTGTTGACCATCTGGTGAGGGCCATGTATAAAGCCGTCTTTTAGGTTGTTGGAAGAGAGTATTCGTTATACACAGCGAGTTTTCCTGGCAAAATTCTATCAGCCTGCGTCCCGCTTCATTTTGTTCTCCCAGACCATGCTTGCCTGTGATCCCAGTTGTCATTTGACTTCCCACCTTGGCATTCCAGTCTCCTGTAATGAAAATAATGTCTCTTTGGTGTATTATCCAGTAGTTCCTGCAGATCCTCATAGAACTGATCTACTTCTGCTTCTTCAGCAGCTGTGGTTGGGGCGTATATTTGGATCACTGTAATGTTGAAAGGCTTTCCTTGCACTCGAATTGAGATCATTCTGTCATTTTTTGGGTTGTATCCAAGCACCGCTTTAGCGAATTTCTTATTAATTATGAAGGCTACTCCATTTCTTCGATGTTCCTCTTGACAGCAGTAGTAGATCTGGTGGTCATCTGATGTGAAGTGGCCCATTCCAGTCCATTTCAGTTCGCTGACCCCCAGAATGTCTATCTTTAGTCTTGACATCTCACCAATAACAACATCCAATTTGCCCTGGCTCATAGATCTTACATTCCAGGTTCCTATGGTGTGTTGATCGTTAGAGCATCGGATTCGTCGTTCACCTCCAGTACCGTCGGCCGCTAGCCTTCCTTTCGGCTTTGAGCTAGCTGCGTCATCACATCTGGGGCTAGTTGAACTTATCCTCTGCTCCTCCAGTAGCATTTTGGCCATCTTCCAACCTGGGAGTCCCATCTTCCAATGGCATACCGACATATCTCTGGTTGTACTGGTCCATTTAGTTTTCTTGGCAAGGATACTGGAGTGGTTTGCCATTGCCTTCCCCAGGGATCACGCTTGGTCTGACCTCTCTGCCACAACCGTCCCGTCTTGGGTGTCCCTTCACGGTTTCGCTCATGACATCATTGAGGTGCTCAAGCTCCAGCGCCCCGACAAGGCGGTGATCCTTTGCTGGATCCTTTTGTTATTTATATATAATTCATTATTATAGTTTATTATATAATATGCTACATCATAAAATACAATACAGAGTACTTTATATGTGGAATATAATAAATATATATATAAAATACCCTTTATTTTACAATAGCGTAGGGAATTAGTATAGCATTTATTAAGGTTTTTAAAGACTTAGTTTCTGTAATCTTCTTTTTCTTAAAATTTATTGTTAGTTTCTGGAAATATCATAATGTCTGTCCCAGCTGTAAATGGCAAATCTGAAAGCAGTGACAGTGGAGCAGAATCAGAAGAAGAGCCACACCAAGAAGAAATCATAGAATTACAAGAGATTGAAAAAGGTATAGATTTCTGAACTGCATTTGTCTTTAACGTATGGAAATACATAATATGAGTGAATTGTGGTATTTCTTCTTGCTGCTTTATAATCTAAGATTATATTATATTGTATGATTTGGACTTCTCAAGCAGCAACTAGTCATGAACCTTGTGAATAAAAGAGGAAGTATTCCAGGTTATTTATGCAATTTCCTTTTCCCAGTCAACAACAAGGAGAGAAATGTGCTGGGCTTGGCAGTGGTGATAGCTACACAATGCTGAGAAATCCTTCTTGTACATTTTAGTCTTTTTAAAAAAGATAGCATTCTTACCTTCAGTGGAACTTCTAATAATTGTGTATCTGTTTACTAATCTTTCAAATAATGTATTTGCTTATACAAAACTTGATATTTGTAAAGAAACAAACTGAGCTGAAATACAAAAGGCAGTTTATTTGATATAATTTTTATTACTTTATCATAATTTATATCTTGCCTTTCTCCCAAGGTATTATTTCTGAATTCAGTATTAAACATATCTGTGGAAACCTTAGAAACACAGTGATAAAAAGCAACACATTCTGCAGTGCGCTTTTCTTTCTAAATGTGCAGTCTTTTGATTTTACAGAAGAGCCCGAGAGCCTGGAACAGGACTGCAGCCCTGATAAGGAGCTGGGCGATGTTGTTGCCAATGGCTGCTGTGATGATGTGCCTAATATTAATCTGCAGAATGGCATACAAACTAAATCTGCTCTGAATGGTATCAGTGTGGATGAAGAGATAAAGAAGGGAGCGAAATATCTGGAACTACCTATCAAATCTAATTACAGTTCCCCTCATCAAGGTAATCTCATTATTTAAATTTGCCTCCGTGATGTGAGAGTTTTGCTTGCCAGTTTAGAAAGACCATTTCCCAATGTTTGTCAAGCTCTTGGCTGAGGATAAAAAAATAAACCTTATTTGTTTGATATAATTCTGTGATTGTTAGTGGGTTGTGGGGATAGGACATATTGATCAATGTCTTTATCATTTTTCATGTGCATATACATACATATATACAGTAGATAGGCATAGTCTACTGTTTCTGGTAACTTAGGTATTAAGCATGATAAAGGTTTCCCCTTGACATTAAGTCTAGCCATGTCTGACTCTGGGGCTGGTGCTCATCTCCATGTCTAAGCCAAAGAGCCGGCATTGTCTTTGGACACCTCAGAGGTCATGTGGCCAGCGTGACTGCATGGAGCGCCGTTACCTTCCCACAGAAGCAGTACCTATCGATCTACTGCTAGGTTGGCAGAAGCTGGGGGTAACAGCTCCGCGGATTCGAAGTGTTCAACTTTCAGTCAGCAGCTCAGCGATTTAACCCATTGCACCACCAGGGGCCCCAACTTAAGCATGAAAATTTAAATATCAACAAAAATTGTATTATTCTGTTTAAATAATGTGTTTGTTTCATGTGATGGTGAAATACCATACATTCCTTTGGAGGAGGCAGGGCAAGCATTGGTCCCCAAGGGATGCACTTTGCTATCGCTGCTACAAGGGGTCAAAATATGAAACCTTTTCAAAATATGAAACCTTTTGTGTGTCAGTGTGACAGAGAGACAGGCAAGTGCTCCATATGTCCTCCCTATACACCAACAGTCATTGGAATGTTTGCCCTGGATGTATTCTTTAATAACCAGCCACGACCATTTTATAGCTTTTTTTTATTGTTAAATAAATAGTTTAAATAAGACATGTTCATCCTAGATAAAACAAAAAAAAAAAACAGGTTTTGACTTGGCACAAAATTAATCCCAATGTGCTGTGTGGGTAACTTACCGTATATACTCGAGTATGAGCCGAGTTTTTTGAGTCCCTTTTTAGGCTGGAAAAGCCCCCCTCGGCTTATACTCGAGTCAAAGTTATTTATTATTTTACTCTGTTATTATTACATTTATAATTTTACTCTATTATTATTTCATTTATTATTTTTCCCTGTTACTATTGTTATTACATTTATTATTTTACTCTATTATTTTTATTATTACATTTCCATTATTTTACTTTATTATTATTACATTTATTATTTTACTCTATTTTATTATTACATTATTTTACTCTATTATTAGTTATTATTACATTTCCATTATTTTACTTTATCATTCTTGTTATTATTATATTTATTATTTTTCTCTCTTTATTATTATTGGAAGGATACGTAAGCACATTAGAATAAGAATAGGTTAGACTAATGATTTAATCAGAGTTGGATAGTCTTATGTTAAAGTACAGTCTTATGTAATTATTCAAATTATTCAAAAACATTGAATCTACTGATGCCTCAATTAATGTAATTTTATTGGTATCTATTTTTATTTTAAAATTTACCAGAAGCTTCTGCATTTCCCACCCTCATCTTATACCCAAGTTTTTTGTGGTAAAATTAGGTGCCTTGGCTTATATTGAGTATATACAGTATTTTTGAGTTACTGCTTTATTTGTCCCAAACTGACCAACTTGGACTTGATTGGTTGATCATGTACTTATAGGTACTGAACTGAAGGAAGATAACACTGAAGAGGTTTCTGGAATTCAACACTTGACAAGTGATTCAGATAGTGAAATATATTGTGACTCCATGGAGCAGTTTGGACAAGAAGAGGTAGAGTTTGTTACATTTTCTAAGTTATATGGAAGAACCAATACATTTATCACAATCTAAAGAATTAATAAACTTCTGAATTCTATGAGATTGTTGTTGTTGTTGTTGTGGTGTGCCTTTGAGTCATTTCAGACTTATGGGAACCCTAGGGCGAATCTTGCTGGGTGAGTGAGCTTATTAACAAAAGACCCTCTTCATAAATATACAGCAGAGTAACTTATTAGCAGCAGCGTGACCCAGCACCAGTAGCCCAAAGTGATAAAAACAACAAAAACACACAGACCAAAGTTATCTCTTCCATTGGAGGCTTTTCTTTATAGCAAAATAATATGGTTACACTATTTACAAGAACAAGGTTTCCATAACACAATTAAAGTTTCTTTACATTTCCTTCTTTGCTTCCATGCTGGACTTCTTTCTCATGCAGATAGACAGCTTTGCTCTCACAGAGCCTCCTCTCACACCGAAATTACACAGGAGCTTCACACAGTAGCTTTATACACACAGCAGCCTTCACACATTGAAGCTTCACACACAATGGCCTTCAACCTGGGGTTTCTCTCTCACAAGCTTCTCATACCAGGCCTACTCACATTTGAGGCAAGCTAAGATTGAGACTTTCTCATACTGAGGCCTAGTAGCACACTGAGGCCTTTCTCAGAGAGACCTCTCACAGACTGAGAGCTACTAAGCTACAGGCACAATTGCTTATATTGAAGTGCAGCTTTGGCTGAGTCATTGTATCCATTTAACCCTTTCAGTCCTTGCTTCACATTTTTGTAATTAAAAATACTTAGTTAATTTTTAATATTTCTGACAAATCTAGCCCAACTTTTTGACAAGATTAGTTCAGAGACCATTTTTCTTTGCCGTCTTCTGAGGATGAGAGAATGTGACCCCAAAATTACTCTGTGAGTTTTTATGTCCAAGTGAGGATTTGAACTCTGGTCTAAATGAGAACTTATTTCCTTAAACACTAATCTTTTTGCAATTTCAAAAGCAGATTTGACACAGTATAAAGACAACTTTCTAAAGCCAAAATATGTATCTTTGCATTTAGCATGCACTTTATTTATTTACTACATTTATACCCCACCCTCTCTCACCACAAAGAAGATGCAGAGCGATTTACAAATTATGTGTACATACAATATATTATTAGCATAGCAAAATATTAGTATTTATATTACTATATTGTACTATACTGCTATACTATAATATTAATAATATTGCATGTAATATACAATATATAATTAATATTATTATATTGTTATTATTATATTGTATTAAATTATAATATTATTATCAATTTTATATGTATATATGATATATTATTTGCAGAGCACAATATTAGTATTATATAGTACTATATTGTTGCTGGGGGGAGGGGCCCCCAACTGATGGTAAAGGAGACAAGGTGGAACCGTCTTCCTTGCTTCCCCTCTTCACTCTGGCCCTAGCGTGGCTCAGAGATGGCCATTAATCATTGTCTGGAGAAGTGTATAATTTGGAGAAAGGGAGTTTAGTTTTGTCTTCTCTGCTGTAGTTCTGATAAAAATAATTCTCTCATTCATACCATTCTGGAACAGATTTTTTTCAGTCCCCATATTATGTGCTGAAACAGATTGTCATTCAAGCTGTGTTTCACCATTCCCAGCATCTTCCCTATGGTGTATTTGTACTTGAGCTGCTTAGAACACAATTTTTATCTATTACTAGTAGAGTTATCAACACACCTTTTCTAATGCTGGTTCCCCAATAATTCTAGAAATGGTGACTAGGTAATAACAATCAACGAGCAAGCCGTGTTCACAGTATAACTCTCTATATGCTGTATATTTGATATTCCATGTGTGGTGAAGGTTAGAGAAAGGGAAACTATTTCTGTTGGAGAATTATTGGTTCCAAACATAACAGATGCTTTTAATTTGTAGATGTTGGAAATCAATACATCAACAAAAGAATTTTCAAAACATCCGTTCCATTTCTCAGAAGGAGATCAAAGTCTGCTAGAAACCTCTGGTTTTCTGGATCTTGGAAACTACAAGGTAGAAGGTATAAATGAAGCTGCAGTTGAAGGAAAAGGGGAAGTCAAGTGTGGCGGTGAAGATGGCAAGGCGAGTGATGGAGGTCCTCACAAAGAAAAAAAAGGTGGCGAGAAGGTTGACTTCTACGGAATCAGAAGGGGCCGAGGTACTGTTGGAATGTGTGCTCTGTTGCACCCGACGTTTTACTGTAATTTGTGGAATCTTGAACTTTTCACACTGTAATCTTTACATAAAATATGTTTTTATTTCTAAAGCTGCTTTATTCCCCCTCTTTCATTTAGGACAAAGAATGCATCCTTTGGGTGATAGTGCTCAAGGTGGTCAGATGGGCAGTGGAGGAGATGGAGAACGATGGGGTTCAGACAGAGGGCCACGGGGTAGCCTCAATGAACAAATCGCAGTGGTGCTCATACGGTTACAAGAAGATATGCAAAATGTCCTACAGAGGCTACATGCACTTGAGACATTGACAGCCTCACAGGTAAAGCATCTTCCATTTTATCCTAGAAGTCAAAGTGGTGATATCTTTATGCTAGGGTAGGTGTTTGCATACAGAAGGAATGATCCAAGGGTATGGTCAGGTAGGACTGGGAATTATTTATTTATTTATTTATTTGATTCATTTATTAACCGCCATTCTCAGCCCTTACGGGCGACTCATGGCGGTGTACAGTACACATAAAAGACAGTTACAAAAGTCAGTATCTACAAACACATAGCTATACAAACAACTACAAACTACATAAAAATCCGCTTCGTCTCTTAGTAGAATCATAGGCCAGTCTCATCGTCCTTATATCATTCCAGTTCTCATTACCATAATGTTACCATGATGTTGTTACTAGCACTTAATTAAATGCCCTCTCGAACAGCCAGGTTTTAAGGCTTTTTCGAAAGGACATGAGGGAGGGCGCCTGTCTAATGTTTGCCGGGAGAGTGTTCCACAGCCGGGGAGCCACCACCGAGAAGGCCCTCTCCCTCGTCCCCGCCAGCCGTGCCTGTGATGCTGGCGGGACCGAGAGAAGGGCCTCCCCAGACGATCTCAAGGTCCTCGTGGGCTCGTAGGCCAAGATGCGGTCAGAAAGGTATTTTGGGCCGGAACCGTTTAGGGCTTTAAAGGCCAAAACCAGCACCTTGAATTGGGTCCGGTAGCAGATCGGCAGCCAGTGGAGTTGGGACAACAAGGGCGTTGTGTGCTCCCTGCCACCCGCTCCAGTTAATAACATGGCTGCCGCACGCTGAACCAGCTGAAGCTTCCGGGCCGTCTTCAAGGGCAGCCCCACGTAGAGAGCGTTGCAGTAGTCCAAGCGGGATGTGACAAGAGCGTGTACCACCGTGGCCAAGTCAGACTTCCCGAGATACGGGCGCAGCTGGCGCACGAGCCTGAGCTGTGCAAATGCTCCCCTGGTCACCGCTGAAACCTGGGGATCCAGGCTCAACGATGAGTCCAGGGTCACACCCAAGCTGCGAACCTGCGCCTTCAAGGGGAGTGCGCCCCCGTCCAGCACAGGCTGTAACCCTATATCCCGTTCGGCCTTACGACTGACCAGGAGTACCTCTGTCTTGTCTGGATTTAATTTCAGTTTGTTCACCCTCATCCAGACCGTCACAGCGGCCAGGCACCGGTTCAGGACCTCGACAGCCTCCTTAGTAGCAGGTGGAAAGGAGTGACAGAGTTGGACATCATCTGCGTACAGATGACACCGCACCCCGAAACTCCGGATGATCTCACCCAGCGGCTTCATGTATATGTTAAACAGCATGGGGGACAGTATGGAACCCTGAGGCACCCCACAAGTCAAAGGTTGTGGTGCGGAACAGGAGTCCCCCAATGACACCTTCTGGGTGCGACCCTCCAGAAATGACCGGAGCCACTGCAAAGCAATGCCTCCAAGACCCATTTCCGCAAGGCGCCCCAGAAGGATACCGTGGTCGACGGTATCGAAGGCCGCTGAGAGGTCCAGGAGCACCAACAGGGACACACTCCCCCTGTCTAGCTCCCGGCGCAGATCATCCACTAAGGCGACCAAGACCGTCTCGGTACCATGTCCCGGTCTGAAGCCAGACTGTGCCGGATCCAGATAATCCGTGTCTCTCAAGAATACCTGGAGTTGTGAGGCCACCACGCTTTCCATGACTTTGCCCAAAAAGGGGAGATTGGAAACAGGCCGAAAGTTGTCCAATTTAGTGGGATCCAGTGATGGCTTCTTCAACAGCGGCTTTATAATAGCCTGTTTTAGGCTCGCTGGAATCTTGCCTTCCCGAAGGGAGGCATTCACCACCACTGTTACCCACTCAGCCAATCCCCCTCTGGCCTCTCTCAGAAGCCAGGATGGGCAGGGGTCTAGGATGGACGTGGTGGGCCTCATTCCTCCAAGTATCTTGTCCACATCCTCGGGTTTCACAAACTGAAAAGAATCCAACAAAATAGGACAAGCAGGTGCTCTCGTTACATCCACGGAGTCTGCATCTAACGCGGCGTCCAGCCCAGAACGGATCAAGGCGACTTTGTCTGCGAAGAACCGAGCAAATGCTTCACAGCGCGTGACCGAATTGTCAGGGCTCCCACCTACAGAGGCGGGAGTTAAAAGACCTCTGACAATCCGAAACAACTCCGCCGGACGGTTCTTTGCAGACGCAATAGTGGCCGCAAAGAAAGTCTTCTTTGCGGTCTTTATTGCCGCGGCATATGCCCTAAGAAAGGACACAAACCGTGCTCGGTTTGACTCGCTCGGTTCCGAACGCCACACGCTCTCTAGTTCCCTCTTCCTTCGCTTCATAGCTGCCAGCTCCTCAGTAAACCAAGGGGCCGGTTTAGCTCGGCTACTTGAGAGGGGACGTTCCGGAGCGATCATGTCAATAGCCCTGGTCATCTCCCCATTCCAGAGAGCCACCAAGGCTTCGACATGGTCACCTACCGAGGTGGCGGGAAAATCCCCAAGAGCCGTCAGGAAACCATTCGGATCCATCAGTCTCCTGGGGCGGACCATCTTAATGGGTCCTCCACCTTTGCAGAGGTTAGGGGGTGCAGTGAGCCTAAATCTGATCAGGAAGTGGTCGGTCCATGGCAACGGAGAGATGGACAACTCCTCCACACCGCCACCCTGCTCCCATCCCTGACAGAAAACCAAGTCCAATGTGTGTCCAGCACAGTGGGTGGGGCCAGATATTTGTTGGGACAGCCCCATGGTTGCCATGGCAGACATGAAGTCCTGAGCCGCGCCTGTGAGGGTCGACTCGGCATGGACATTGAAGTCTCCCAGCACAAGAAGCCGTTGAGACTTCAACGCCAGGCTCGAGACCACCCCCGCTAGCTCAGGTAGGGAGACTGTAGTGCAGCGAGGTGGACGGTACACTACTAGAATCCCTATACTGTCCCGGTCACCCACCCTCAGGTAGACGCTTTCAAAATTTGCGGTCTGCGGGATGGGGCACCTGGTCAGATGGATGGAATCCCTATAGACCACTGCAACCCCGCCTCCCCGCCCTCCGGATCTAGGCTGGTGCTGCACGGAGAAACCCGGAGGACAAAGCTGGGTTAGATTTACTCCTCCAACTTCATCCAACCAGGTCTCCGTGATGCACGCCAGATCTGCCCGTTCGTCCAGGATTAGGTCCTGGATCCAGGTCGTTTTTCCGTTGACAGATCTGGCGTTCAACAGCACCACCTTCAGTCCGGAGGGTCCGCTCACCTGGTTACACCAAATTACCTTAGGAGATCGATTTGGAATTTTGATTATGGATAGGTTGTCCGAATTAGGCCGAATTTGAGGTCTCCTTTTCCCGCATCTCCTCCTTCCCACCACGACCTCTATGGGGGCCCCTCGGCTAGTGGAACACCTCCCCTCCTCCATGCCGCTATTCCTGGCTAGGGTCTTAACCACAATTTCACCAGCTGTTTGGAAGGTTGGTAATTTGTCTTGCCCGTTGTGCTGGCCTTCTTCAACGCCCCTCCCCCCCTCATAATTTCCCACAGGCTCCAACCCACTGCCTCCCCTGCCCCTTCCACCAGATAATGATAACAGAGACAGTACGCATAGGAGGGTGGGGAACCACATGGATGGAAATGGCTACTTCAGTAAATAAAGGAATTATACCAGCATGATACCCTAGGAAACTGTGCAACTCACCATAGACAATGCATGAACTAATGGATCAAAGTAGCAGCATCTATTATTCAAATTAATCTTTATTTTTAGAAACCTTTTTAGCTAGAATAGATATTGGAGATCCCTCCCCCCACCCCACAAATCTTTGTGAAAATTGTTCATAGGAATGCAGATGATTTTTTGAAGTATATGCAGGAAAGGCAGACTACTTAAACCACGAAAAGTAGTGCACTGTTTGTAAAGGAAACAACTTACATGTAAGCTTTCATGTGTGAAAGTTCCAAAATCACTGTATTTTATTGCGGTTGGAAATATTTTAAAGCTTCAAACCAGTTGGGAATTGGTTTGCGCATGGAAAAACCTTGCTTGAAAGAGCACTGAGTCCTTAGACCAGTGTTTCTCAACCTTCCTAATGCTGCAACCTGTCAATACAGTTCCTCATGTTGTGGTGACCCCAACCATAAAATTATTTACATTGCTACTTTATAACTGCAATTTTGCTACTGTTATGATTTGTAATGTAAATATCTGATGTGCAGGATGTATTTTCATTTACCGGGCCAGATTTAGCACAAATACCCAATAATCCAAATTTGAATACTGGTGGGGTTGGTGGGATTGATTTTGTCATATGGGAGTTGTAGTTGCTGGGATTTATCGTTCACCTACAATCATTTGGAACCCAACCCACAATGGATATGCACCAAACTTGGCACACAAAACTCCCATGACCAACAGAAAATACTGGAAGGCAGAAACTGACTTTGAGTTTTGAGTTCACCTACATCCAGGGAGCATCCAGGGACTCAAACAATGATGGATCTGGACCAAACTTGGCACGGATACTCAATATGCCCTAATGTGAACACTGGTGGAGTTTGGGGAAAATAGACTTTGACATTTGGGAGTTGTAGTTGTGGGATTTATAGTTCACCTACAATCAAAGAGCCCCTTGAACCCCACCAGTGATAGAATTGGGCCAAACTTCCCACACAGAACCCCCATGCCTTGAAGGCGCAAGCCTTCCTCCAGCGTTGCATGCTTTCCCTCGCCTGTACATGTGCACCACAGTGCCATGCGCCAAGCACACCTGCTCCCTCAGAAACAGCCCTCCCCTTGGCTGAGAGGCCGGCCAATCACAATGAAGGAGGGCTTTTGGTGGGAGGATTCGCCGTCTGTTTCCAAAAGGAAGAGAAGGACAGGCGGAGAGATCTTCAGCCTTCTCTGTCAAAGGGGTTCCTAAGACCATCAGAAATATAGTCCCAGCTGGAGGAGATGTACTGAGTTAATAACATTCACCAAAACTTGGAATTAGTTATAACAATGTATGAAGAGGTCTGAAAATGTATGACAATGAACCCAAGGTGGAAGGTATGGAAGGGAACAGAAAAGCCTATAGCTTTATGATGAATCTTTACATGTCATGTTGTGGATGAAAGTGAAGAAAAATGTTAATACTTTTCCCATGCCATAATATAAAGCCATGAAGAAACATTTTAAACTTGATTTGTATTTGCAGGCAAGAACTGCAAGCCTCCATTCAAGTGATCAGCAAATTTCACCTGTTAAGGTAAGAATTTGTCTACTTGTTAAAGAAGCCATTTACATGTTTTTTAATGGGGGGCTTTAAAGCTAGGATGTCTTTTGACATTAAGGCCATGATAGAATTTGTTGTATGATATTGAGATAATCATTCTGTAATGTATCATTTGAAGTACTACTTTTAGCTTCTGCTAAAATGAACTCTTTGTGCATGTCTTTATTGTCATGGCAAATTCCAAGAATTCCATACAAATTTGCAAAAACATAATTAAGTTACTGGTATAATTAATTGCAACAGAAATTTTACTAACTTTTCCTTTTTAATGAAAAGGATGTTGAAATTGTAAATTCGATGTATGCTTACTTGAAAGTAAGTTCTGGTGCTTTAATTGGAAATTTCTAGGTAGGGTGCTACCAGAAAATGTTTCTGTCAATATTCCCAAATTTGCAAAGAAGACAGATTTCAGGGGATGGAGCAGTCAAACATGATGATGCCATTCAGTGCTAGTTGAGTCTTGTACTTTATTAGAAAGACAATGTTTTAAAACTCAAAAGAAATTATAATCAAACATAAACACATACACATTTTAGATCCTTTGAATTTATAGTAAAGTATCTATAGTTCCTAATCTATAATTTGCATTAACCATTACTGAGTTGGCATGTACCTACATTTTGTATGACTGACTAGATTGTTGGGCGAGTGGGCTTATTAAGGAAAGACACTCCTCATAAATGTACAGCTGAGTAACTTAGCAGCAGCAGCGTGACCCAGTACCAGTAGCCAAGTGATCAAAAGAACAAAAATACACAGATCAATGTTATCTCTTCCATACCACATAATAAAATTCACCCTTCACACTGGAGCTTCACACATGACAGCCTTCTCATACCGAGGCTTACTTCACACAGAGGCTTCTCTCACAGACACTGTGAAGCCTTTTCTTACAGAGTAAGGCCTACCTCACACTGTGGGGCCTTCCTAAGACCTACCTCACACTGTGAGGCCTTCTCACAGACTGAGACATTTTTCCCACTGAGGCAAACTAACACAGAGGCCTGCTAAGCTACAGACACACCTAATTATATAGAACTGCAGCTTTTGCGGACTCATTGCATCCTTTTAACCCTTTCAGTGTTTTGACTCACATTTTTGTAATTAAAAATACCTAGTTATTTTTTAATATTTCTGACATGGATGACACTTGTGTATTTATTTTTGGTGTTTAGAGACCATCCTGGTGGCCCTTTGAGATCTCTCCTAATACTTTAGCCTTTGCGATTATATGGCCCTTCGTTGCTCAGTGGCTGGTGCATGTATATCTTCAAAGGAGAAGAAGGTAAGCCTTAAAAGTATGAAGATGCCTATATTTTAGTTTGATACTTTTGGAGAAAATTGAGTGACTTACATATTATATTCGGATTTCGTTCTGCTATCCCAGAAATACTTTACCATACTTTGAGGTTATTGTGTGGATTTAATCAAATTTGCTAGGTTTTTATTACCACAATCACAATCACAAGTGTCATGAATGTGAAATGTTTACAGTATTTCTAAATTCATACACCTTCTCAGCAGGAGATCATACTGAAGAAACTGTAATGCAGACTTATTGTAATATTGAAATATATTAAAATAAAGAAGTTTCATAAATCAAGTACAGTACTTCATTTTATACAGTAGTATCAGAGGATGACTTAGGCAGGCGCAAAATGTGGCCCATATAATTTGAAGACCAAGCATTCAACTAGTAAAATAGTGCAATAAGGATAATGAACTAATGGAATTGACAATTGGACAGGCTGTGGAGTCAGATCTAGATTATGTAATTTTAATTGATGTTTTAATAATTAATGTTTAATTGTATGCTTTTAATTGTATTTGTTTATTTTTATTTTTATTTATTTACTCTATTTGTATCCCACCTTTCTCCACCCTGAAGGGGGCTCAAGGCAGCTTTATATGTACTGGCATCGAATTGCTGCCTGCTGTAAGGCCACCCTGAGTCCCCTTTTAGGGTGAGAAGGGCGGGATACAAATATGTGAAATAAATATAAATAAATAAATAAGAAAATAAAATATTGCGAAGTGTGTGATCCTGTTTTGTTAGGAATACATGAAAGCGATCTAAATTGGTAATATGCATGTTTTTTTCTTTTCAGAAAACATAACTGAGGGCTGAATGTCACGTTTTACTTAAGGACTGCTAATATTGGGAGACTCTGGAAATCTAGAAGAACTTCAGGCTCTGGGACAGCTAACTCTTCCATCTAGTTTTTTGTTTTTCCCTTTGAACTACATGAATAACCCATTTCTCTTAGAATAAACACAGCTATCCCATTGAGAACTCACATGAACCTTAACTTAATTATTTCAGAATGTCCTTTATGGGTCATTATTGCACAGAATCAAAAGATCTTAATACAGCTCCTGAGAGCAGTTCAGTCAACTTTGCAGAGAAGGAAAAGCTTCTTAAATTAACACAAAATGTTTTAGTACATTGTTACTTCACCAGAACCCAACTCTTTTGTACTGTCATTCAAGCCTTTCCAGATAGCACAGGATAGGCAGTAGTAACTATAAATCTAGATTAATCCAAGTGACTGGATGATACAATACCACTTAACATCCTAGTTTGGGCAAATTTAATTTGTAATTGCTGCTATAAAGACGAGGTAACATTTTAGTACGTAAAGTAAAATCAAATGTTTGAGGCGGTGGGTTGTACTTGCATGAATACAATCTCCATTATGTATATGTTTTTAAAACTTGGTAATCCAATGCTTCACCGTATTAAAACAGCTAACTGAGTTTGAATATGGCATTATATATTGAATAATCCAATCCAGGAATGATGACTGTGCATCCATGAGCCAGATTGAAATCATGACTTTTAACAAAAAGTGACTTTCTGAAGTCTATTTATTTTGGTGATTTAGGCATCAAGAGGGAAGGATGCATTTATTGAAAACCCTTTCCTTTATAAGGGTTTTCAATAAACCAATGGTTTTAGCCGAGTTGTATAACATAAGGTGCTGAAAATGTGTGCTAAAACTAGCTACCATCTATCTCAAGTGTATTTGTAGAAAGTCTTTTGCAAATGGACTGAGGTTAGTGCCTATGCAAAAGGTTACATCTAAGGAGCCTGCCATTTAGGCTTTGTAGATACACAGGCAGTGCTTCATTTGTGCTATCGTTGTGGCATAGGGTACAGAAAAGCAAATCTCTTGAAACAGGAAATCAACAAGCATCTGGTTGCCACGAAAGCCTGTATATCTGTGATTGAGCTGTACTAATTTATATAGCAAATATGGACCCAGTTGATAAATCTCTTGTTCATATCAAAATTCTCATCTTGGTAGAAAATTCGGTTGGAGCTCTTCTCCGACATGGTTTTAATGTGGAGGTTTTCCTTTCAAAAAGTCAAACATCCAACATTGGAAACTCCCTTCTGCTGTTTGAGGTAACACTGGTTCGGCCATTAAGAAAATGGAGATTGGCATTTGCGTGAGATCAGGTAGTTACTTACTGTTTATGCAACTGTGATGAACATATGCATCTGATTCAGTGGAGCAGCAACTAACACATAGTCTAGTTTTCACTTGATTATTTTAGCAAGTGTGATACTAAAAAAAATATCCCTGTGTACCTAATTTGTTTGATAACGAACCCCCTACCATGACTCTTTACATCTCTGCCTCCCTTTAAAGACAATTTTTGCATTGTCACTTTATTACATTTCTGATTATATGTTTAAATAACAGCGTGTTTAGTTATAAGATTTCTGAGCATATGATTTGGAAATCAAATAATGAGAGTCAACATTACTTTGCGTGATGTTATAAAAATCAAACGTAAGTGATGGCTTCTTATTTGCTGCGGTCAAAAGAAAAATCGCAGGCCTGAAAATAGTGCCACACCACAGAAGTTATGTGACTCTGATACATAATTTCAGGATTGTGACATATTTTGCACTATAGAGTTCTTTGGACTGATAAGAAGCTCATGATCTTGAAGTTTGAAAAGCACCTTCATATTTGTTATATGCTTTATAATACATGTAATTATGGGATTGAAGTTTCTGCTTTGTTTAAATAGAAAATGGTTTAAAAGTTCAGTTTTTAAAAATTAGCTCATCTTCATCTATTGTAAATAACATTCGTCAAATAAAGAATGACAGGAGCAGATTGCCTGAGAATATTTTACACGTTTTTTATGACTGGATGTGATGGTGAAAATTTCAGAAATATGGCAAGGTTATCTACACTGCAGTGACTACACTGTATGCAGAAACAAAAACACATAGGCCAAGATTAATCTGAGAACTTATATCATCTTCTCATGAAGTAAACCGCTTTAGATGGAATTATTAAACAGCAGGACATGTACGAATGCTCATGTTGCCGTTCTGCCAGAAGAAGGCTAGAATGAAATCAGTTTGCGAGAAAAAGCAGCAAAAACAAGGCTTCTTCTCTGCTGAAAGCCATGCATAGAATACTTGTTCTGGAAGAGATCGTTGTGTCATGCAGTAGTCTGACATCCTTTCCTGCTCTTCCTGTTCTCTAAACCACCACTTCTGAAGATTTAAATCTACGACAGAAAGTAGGCTCACAAGTCTCGCTTTGTGTCTCACTTCTTAATTTGATTAGTTAAGCGGTTTCAGAATAAGGCTAAGTGCAGATCACCAATGCTATCTAGGACATTATGTTTGTTTATTTTTATATGAGGTTCTGTAAATTACTCAGATATTTTGGGGACTGAAACACAAATTATATTCTTTTAGGGCCCTTGGTGGTGCAGCGGTTTAAACTGCTGAACATGCTGACCAAAAGGTTGGAGGTTCAAATCTGGGGATTGGGGTGAGCTCCCACTGTTAGCCCCAGCTTCGAAAACATGGAAATGTGAGCAGATTAATAGGTACAGCTCAGGTAGGAAGGTAACAGCACTCCATGCAGTCATGCCGGGCACATGACTTTTGGAGGTGTCTATGGATAAGTCTTTGGCTTAGGAATGGAGATGAGCACCACCTCCCAGAGTCAGGCACAGCTAAACTTAATATCAAGGGAAAACCTTTACCTTTTTTAGTTAGCTAGAAGTAAATAACTGTCACCGTATGGATCACACAGCCCATATTGTGATTATAGTGTTAACTTCATAGGGAAAAAGGAGGACTAGTCAAACAAATTCTACTAGGGGGAAGACCAAAGAACACAGCACTGACTATTTGACCAGGACGAAAAGTAGTTAAGACAGTTATACTTCCCATATGCAAGCAGTTAATTTCCAGTCCTAAAATACATGCTAACGATATGTGATCTGAAGTTTATCGTGATCAAAAGCTGAACCAGTCTGGCTTGAAAAGGGCTAAGCTGATGCAGTACCATTCTGAAAGAACACAATATAGCAATTTCTGGCAAATTGCAAGCATTCAATTTTTTTTGACTTACTTGTGATAATTTCAACAGTAGAAAAACAAATCAAGGAGCATTAATTCCCATCCAGTCGACCCTCCACATCTGTGGATATGATTTATGTGCTATCTAAAAATTTCTAGGTTCTCCAGTGAAGCTTCCACCAGAAACTAAGCATAGTTTCACACTGGAGGACTTAGAGATTCCTAGAGAGGTGTTCTCAGGTAAAACATACAGCATTTTTATTTGCATTGGCTCTGTGCCCCTCACCCGAGTGAATGTAAATGGTTGACTTTATATTTCCATATCAAGGGAATAGAGCAAAGACTAGAACAAAATTATCAGCTGGATGTAACTACTTGTATTACTTAAAAGGTGGCTACAAGGTATGTCTTACAAGATTTTTATTTAAATGGTTTAAAAGATCAGTTTAAACTTCATATTTACTAAAATCTCACCTGATGTTCTTTATTTCATTCAGTTATAAATCTATAGACTTAAATATACACAGGATGATTTTCATTTTGATTAGGCTGTTTACCTGGCTTACAGAATAACCAAATGACTGCTTTTCAGTATTTAAACCTGTTCAATCCAGAAATCACAAGTAGGACATACAAAACCTACTTGGAGTGGGGAGGGATTTTGTAAATAAATAACGGAGTTGGGAAAAGTAGACATTGGCAATAATATGAGAGACAGTGGAGAATACTGATAGCTTAGCAGCAGAACCAGCAACACATAAATGACCCAAAGTGCCTGAAAGTGTGCATCCTAAATGGACTGGCACATAGGAGAAGCTGAACTGAAAATCTAGAAGTTGCTATGTTATATCATTAAAGTGGCCTAAAATCAACCTCAAATAGATTCTGACATGGAATTCCATCTGTACTTTGAACTACCTGCACATAAACACATTGCTCTGCATTTACTGTACTTGTCATGCCTATGATGACGGCCCCTCTCCCACAATTAGAAATACACTCTAGCAGCAGAAAACAATTTTAGTGACTCATACCACCATTACCTATGTAGGATTTACATAAAGTGCAGTAACTACAGTAAAAGTACAATCGGGAGCTGTTTGGAACCAAACACGTCAACACCTTCGAATGAACTAAAAGCAGACCAGATTTTAAAAACATCATGGTTACAAAATAAGAAGCAAACGAATGCAAGGAAGGTTCATACATGTGCAACCCACTGAAAAGTTCCATTGTGTTGTTATTACAAGCTGAATCCGGACACTGTTAGATGCTGAGCATTATTCCTAGCTTCAAAATAGGTAGTGTCGGTCTCATCGTTAGGTTGGGGTATGAAGGGCATAGGCTGGTTGTGCAGATTTTCCCAGTCTACGCCATGAAAGAACGGGTGACGCTTCAGCTCTACAAAAAAGAGTGTCCACAAACATTGTAAGATTTCCTTGTGCAAAAGCCTCACACTTCCCAGGTTCTTCAACTCAATTCTGGCTGTGTTTAATGTGTTTTTTCTTCTAAATTCTGAACACAACCTGGCTCAAGGTTTAAATAAATGCTGACTTTTCCTTGACTTTCTCCTAATGTTTAGAGTAAATTCATTTCTTTTCAAACGTCTGATTTTAGAATAGTAGAACAATACATTTTCATTCCCAGGACTTGTTGTTAGTCTTTCCCCTTCCACACATTACCATGGAGTGATTTCAATGAGTGAATTCACTAAGCAAGTGGCAATTTAGTGGTCCAGTAGTGGGAAAATGGCAAAGAACATGATGATTAAAATTAGAAGCAAAAAAGTATTTGTTGCTGATAAAGGGGCAAAGGGACTCTGGACATAAATAACTGCTTGGCCATTTTTAAAAATCATGTCAGAAGTAAATAGAGAATATACTGCAAGTCGCTTCTGGTGTAAGATAATTGGCTGTCTGCAAAAATGTTGCCCAGGGTATGCCCAGATGTTTTACCATCCTGTGGAAGGTTTCTCTCATGTTCCCGCATGGAAACTGGGGCTGACAGACGGGAGCTCACCCTGCTCCCCGAATTCGAACCACTGACCTTCAGGTCTTAAGGTCAGTAGTTCACCTGGCACAAGAGTTTAACCCAGTGGTTCTCAACCTGTGGGTCCCCAGGTGTTTTGGCCTACAACTCCCAGAAATCACAGCCAGTTTACCAGCTGTTCGGATTTCTGGGAGTTGAAGGCCAAAAACATCTGGGGACCCCAGGTTGAGAACCACTAGTTTAACCCATTGGAGCATTGCAGCCATGTAGTCGTGTCAATGTGGCTTTTGAATGAGTCTATTTTATCACAGGATTTTCCATTGCTGCTGTAAAGCACCAACCTTAAGCATAAATTCTAAATCTAATTCTAATTCAATACAATGCATAAATCTGGCTTATAACACTATGTAACACATTTTTGTTGCATGGTTATTAATGCCATTTCCTAATTGGTTCTATCACAAAAACATGGAAAAGGTTTATTAAACTGCAAAAACTTTGTTTTTGTGGCACATCCTGCAGCCCATTCTGCTATTGTTTTTCTAGAGTCACAACCAATTCAACATAGTTTGTGACAACCACAAAATAATAAAACTTTCAAACCAGGAAAATATTTGTCAAATTTTGTAACATAGTGCAATGTTTCTCAAACTGTACTCCAGATGTTTGGACCTCAACAGTTTGAGAAACACTGACATAGTTGTCCCTCCATATTTGCAGTTTTGATTTCTGTGGATTTGATTATTCATAGATTTGAATAAAATGTTTTCTATATGTTCTCCAATTTGATTCTACTGTCAATTTCCTTCAGTCATATGGCAGGACCTAGAGATTTCTAGATAGAAAAGTCCTCCAGTGTGATTCTATGGTCAGCTTCCTGTGAAATTCTATAGAGTCATCCTGGAAGGCCTAGAAATTCCTAGAGTGGTGTTCCCTCATATTAACAAGATAGCAATTTCTTTATTCATGTTTTTTCCCTCATTTTTATAGGAGTCCTGTGCCCAGCAAATGTGGAGGACTAACTGTATTGTAAACATTGAATAGGATGCTAGCCTTTGTTTTTAATATTACAATTCGCACTACCCTCCACTGTGAGCTTGTTTTGTTTTTCAGAGTCCTAATATTTGATCTCCTTTATGCTCTAAGAAAGGGAGCTAACTGAAATATCCTATATCCTTGAGACACCCTTCAGGGACTATTGGAGTGTGTCCAAAAATAGGTTACTGTGAGTTTTCCAGGCTGTATGGCCATGTTTCAGAAGCATTCTCTCCTGGCATTTCACCTACATCTATGACAGGCATCCTCAGAGGCTGAAAGATAATTCACACTTGCCTCCAGCAGACAAAGAGTTCTTTCTCCCACCCTGGACATTCCACAGACATATAAACCCCACTTGCCTAGTTTCAAACAGACCCCTCAATCTCTGAGGATGTCTGCCATAGATGTGGGTGAAGCGTCAGGAGAGAATGCTTCTGGAACATGGCCATACAGCCTGGAAAACTCACAGCAACCCAATAATTCTGCCCATGAAAGCCTTTAACAACACATCCAAAAATATTTTAACATTTTGGTTTCTGGACTGCCAAATGAGCAAAAAGTGAGGAGTAAAATGGATACTGACCCTTAAATCCAGCTCGTCTACTACTTTCAATGGTTAAAAGGATATCTATTGCATTCTGAGCATTATCTGACAATTTCTCTTCATCTTCAGGCCATGGAATATCTAAAACAAATGCACAATCAATTAATACATTGGTATTAATGCTAAATAAACAACTTTTTTGGCAAAACAGGCAATTTACCTCTTTTCAGAATATTCTGAAATACTTGATGTGCTGTTTCATCATTGAATGGTGGAATTCCAGTTAGGAACTCAAACAAGCAAACTCCAAGTGCCCACCAGTCAACTCCATGACCTGAAGTGAAGAAAGTACATATATACAAATCCCACAAGATGTACATGCAGTTTTATGTCTATATTTAGTAATGAAAGGCTTTGTTTATGAAATTAATAGGCAAATTATACCAAAAGGCACCAATTTTTTTCTGATCTTGGAAGCTAAGCAGAATTAGCTCTGGTTAGTATTGAGTGGGAAAGCACCAATTAATACCAGATGCTGTAGGTTACCTTTCAGAGGAAGAAAATCTCAAAATAGCTCGTATTCCTTGCATAAGAAAATTGAATTAAAGTTATGTCTGTATGATACATTGTGGGTTCATCTACACTGTAGATTTCACACAGTTTGACACCATTTTGCCATAGCTAAATGTAGGGGATCATGGGAGTTGTAATTTTTTTTTAGCTTTCTCTGCCAGAATGGTGGTGTTCATCACCAAGCACTGAACCATGGCAGTTAAATTATATTATTTCTCCAGTGTAGATACAGCCACTGTTTGGCAGTCTCAACTATTGGGTTGACATCTGTTAACCGAACAACTAATTCAAGAAACCTCAAGTTGGGATTAACCAACAGGATCCACCCTGTACCATTTTATTAAAGCTGTTCCTCCAAAATTAATATCTACCCAAATATTCCATGGTGGAAAACAGTCATCTCCAACATACTAAAACTTTCAAAAGCCAAGTGTGTCCTTGGAATGAACACACTCAAAACTTCAAATTCAGAGGTAATAAGAATTTTATGTTTCATTTTTAATACTTTTGCAATGCAATGCATGGTCTTTTTTTAAGTATATGTATCTTTTCTAGTTTAGACTCTGGTGAGAACCTAGAACTTAGCATTGTTTCCAATATATCTTATCTGCTGCTTGAACAGCTATCACAAAAGGAAAGCCAGTCCCTGTGAAACAAGTGCAGGGAAAGCATAAGCGAGCAAGGATCCTGAAGCACCACAATCCATTAAGCATCATGCATCTTGCAGCTGCCGCACTGCTAAAGTGCCAACTGGCCCATTATGTTGGGAACAAAGGATGCACTTGCTGTGAGAACTTGCCTGCACTGCAGTTACATATCCAAACTTTGAGGACAGGTTCAGACAATGTTCCTTGCTCATTCATTCCTGTTGTAGCCCGGGTCAATCTCTGGAATATGGAGGCGACCAGGGTGGTGGACATAATTGCCCCTGAATGCCCCCTCGCTTAGCAGAGCCAGCTCGTCTCCTTAGTTTACCAGGGAACTGGTGGTGATGAAGCAAGCAAGGCGGAGACTAGAGTGCATCTGGCGTAAGACTCAGGACGAATCTGACCTAACGCAAGCTAGAGCCTCACTTAAGGCCTACTCCACAGCAATAAAGGCAGCCAGGAAGGGCTTCCTGACTGCCCACATTCATCTGCAACAAATAGCTGTTCTGAGTGGTTAGGGGACTCCTCCATCCTGGCTCTCAAGAGGAGATTCCTGATCACTCGGCAACTTGATGTGGTGAGTTTGCCCATCATTTTGCAGATAGTCACTCAGATACATTCCGATTTAGACGTTAGCTTTATGGTAGTACCAACAGATATACCTAAAGCATCTCTCTGTCCTATTTTGTTGGATTTCTTTCAGCATGTTCAGCTTGATGACATGGAAAAGATTCTTGGAGCTGTAGGAATGACCACATGTGCTCGGGACCCTTGCCCTTCCTGGCTTATCAAACTTGCCAGTGGGGGATTGGCTGCATGGCTTAAGAGGATTACAAATGCCTTGTTGGAGCAGGGACTGTTACCACCTAGCTTTAAAAAAGCAATCACAAGGCCAATTCTTTAAAAACACCTCAATATTAAACAACTATCAGCCCATTTCAAATCTCCCTTTTTTGGGCAAGGTTCTAGAACAGATGGTGGCCTCTCAACTCCAGGGATTCTTGGATGAAACTGATTATCTTGATCCCTTTGGTTTTAGGTCTGGTTACGAAACAGACAGCTCTGGTGAATGATCTCCGCAGAGAACTGCATAGGGGGAGTGTATCCCTTCTGGTTCTCTTGGACATTTCAATATCATCAACCATGGTATCCTTTTGGGTCAGCTCTCTGGAATGGGTCTTGTGGGCACTGCTCTGCATGGCTCAGCTCTTCCTGGAGGATTGTACCCAGATGGTGATGCTGGAGGACACCTCCTTGGACCCCTTGCCATTTACCTGTGGGGTCCCCATGCTATTTAACATCTACATGAAACCGCTGGGTGAAGTCATCCAGTTTTGGAGTTGGGTGTCATCTCTATGCAGATGACACTCAATTCTACTACTCTTTTCTACCCCATTCCAAGAAAGATCCCCGTATCCTGGACCAGTGACTGGTAGCTGTGGTGGATTTGATGAGGGCCAACAAGCTGAAGTTTAATCCAGAAGAGGCAGAGGCCCTCCTGGTCAGTTGTGAGGTTGATCAGGATATAGGGTGGCAACATGTGCTCAATGAGGTTACACTCCCTCTGAATACACAGGTCCACAGTCTGGGGGGTCCTCCTGGACTCAGCGCTGTTGCTTGAAGCTCAGGTGTCGGTGGTGGTCACGAGGGCCTTTGCGCAGTTAAAACTGGTGCTCCAGCTGTGACTATACCTCAAAAAGACTGAGAAGACTTTTCTAGGAATCTTTAGGTCCTGTAGTGCAAATCTATGATGACATTCCACCTGAAGGATCTCATTGGGGAACCTACATTTCCTCTGGTGGAAATGGGCCTTAGAGTTACACTGGAGGAGCTAGAGCAGTTCCGTCAAACTTGTGGCCCTTCAGGTGTTTTGGACTTCAGCTCCCAGAATTCCAGGCCATTGGACAAACTGGCTAGGCCTTCTGAAAGTTGGGGCCCCCAAACATGTGAAAGTTTGGCATCTCTTACCTAGAGAGTTCTAGAGACAATATATTAATCAAATCCATAAATGTGGTTGCGGACAGTATATGAATAATTTTCAATGAAGGTTAAAAGTGTCAGATTTGCTTACATGATGAAGAAACAAAGTCTGAACCAGCCAATTCATTCAAATAGCTCCTCTAAAAATACCTTGAAATGAACTTCTGTTTACTTCTTGGTCTACAATAAAATTACATCCAGAATCAATGAAGCACAGAGAATTTATTTCCTTCAAGACAACTTGGATGTTTTTCTTCAAATGTTTAAAAATGGCAAAATCTATTAATATTGTGTTCTGCCTGAAAACCTGAGAGAAACGTTTTCATATCTGATCAAATTCCAAAATAGTATAGACCAAAACTTTTCGAACCAAGCTTGTGGACTTTAAGTCCATCGCGCAATTCTTCTAAAATGACAATTTCCCAGCTTCTACTTTGAGCAGTGCCATTATGCCTTGTTCTGCACAGTGCTATAAAACAAACTTACCAACGGTTTGAATTCCTGTGTGTGAAAAAAACATTAGGTAAACACTGTGGTATGTCTACATAAAATTTCACCACATTGCACTGAATTGTTAAATGCTAGTAATCTAAAGGGACCCCTGAGACATCTTTCCCATGAAATGACTGCTTTCCAAATACAATTATCCAAACTTCCTTCCCTTAAAATTTATATATACACACCATTTAGCTAATCTATGTTTGAACTAGATTGAAGATGTACTGTCTGTAATTAACACACTTTGCACACACAAATATTCATGTACGAAACAAAATATTCAATTTTGGGTTGCGGTGAGTTTTCCGAGCTGTATGGCCATGTTCCTGACGTTTTGCCCACATCTATGGAAGGATAGAGGGAGAAACCGTGGAGGCCGTGACAGACTTTGTATTTCTAGGTGCAAAGATTACTGCAGATGCAGACTGTGGCCAGGAAATCAGAAGACGCTTACTTCTTGGGAGGAGAGCAATGTCCAATCTCGATAAAATAGTAAAGAGTAGAGACATCAGACTGGCAACAAAGATCCGCCTAGTCAAAGCCATGGTATTCCCTGTAGTAACCTACGGATGTGAGAGCTGGACCTTAGGGAAGGCTAAGCGAAGGAAGATCGATGCTTTTGAACTGTGGTGTTGGAGGAAAGTTCTGAGAGTGCCTTGGACTGCGAGAAGATCCAACCAGTCCATCCTCCAGGAAATAAAGCCCGACTGCTCACTGGAGGGAAAGATACTAGAGACAAAGTTGAAGTACTTTGGTCACATCATGAGGAGACAAGAAAGCCTAGAGAAGACAATTATGCTGGGGAAAGTGGAAGGCAAAAGGAAGAGGGGCCGACCAAGGGCAAGATGGATGGATGGCATCCTTGAAGTGACTGGACTGACCTTGAGGGAGCTGGGGGTGGTAACGGCCGACAGGGAGCTCTGGCGTGGGCTGGTCCATGAGGTCACGAAGAGTCGGAGATGACTGAACGAATGAACAACAACATGGAAGGCATCCTCAGAAATTGGGGGATCTATTGGAAACTAGGCAAGCTTCAATGCCTGACTGATTGCTGCCTGGGGAATCCTTTGTTGGGAGGTATTAGCTGGCCCTGATTGAAGCTACAAGGCCATTAAATGCTAATCAAGGTGGCCATTTGCAACATTCACGCCTGCCTCAAGCAGACAAGAGTTCTTTCTCCCACCCTGGACTTTCCACTGATATATAAACCCAATTTTCCTAGTTTCCAACAGATACCTCAACCTCTGAGGATGCCCGCCATAGATGTGGGCGAAATGTCAGGAGGTAACGCTTCTGGAACATGGCCATACAGTCCAAAAAACTCACAGCAACCCAGTGATTCCAGCCATGAAAGCCTTCGACAACACACATTCAACTTTGTTTGTAATGTACCCACAAAATATGCCTTTCCCCTTTATAAACTCCATACATCCTAATTTTGTCAGAGAAAGAACAAACTTAGGGACATTTTCAATATCTAACAGAGCAGCAAGAAAAATACAAGTAAATATAAGGAAAAGAGAACACTTATAACCATAGAAATGTTGTCAACAGAAACAGAATGAGGTTGTATTTGCATGGGTGTCAGTATATCAGAATAATGTTTTTTTTCCTCAAGAAGCCTTACCATGAGCCTTTGCCAAAAGCAGTTCAGGTGCCAAGTAATCAGGAGTTCCTAAAATGCGTTCCCCGTCGACCGGAGCAGCTCCTCTTCGGACACTTTTTGGGGTCCTGTAAGGTGTACCAGCATTTGTCTGAGGAGTCTAATGACAACAATAAATGTCAGGTAAATAGCAAAGTGACAATTCACTCTTTCAAACTAGTTGTAGGCTCAGACAGTGAGTTGCAGACTGAAAAGACGTGTATTCAACCACACAGTGTAATATTTTCTGCATCTAGCAAATTCATTACTCATATGGTTCCAAAACATGAATTCAGACTTCTCAAGCAGAACACTTCTGTTCTTGCTTCCTATGCCAAGTCATCTACACATGATGATGCCTCCTCTGAGTGCTACTATTTTAGTTGCCTACTGTCTAGTTAAATATTTATTTTCTCTTCCTGCCTGGAAGTTGAGTCGTTCTCAGTATTCAGCTTCAGAGCCAATTGAGGACTGTTTTCCAAATACATATGCTACATGAATCCAGTCACTTCTGCCATCCCTCTACATGCACACACACAGATATATATGGCAATGTGTGCACAAGGATACATACACCCCCTACCAACAAGCCACACCCGTATTTTGTAGCAGTTTTCAATTATATAGGTGTGTTGTAGCAAAAAAATAAAATAAGAAAAAAGAATCTAGCGGCATTTGTAAGGCTACTTAATTTGTATTTCAGCATGAGCTTTCATGGATTTCAGTCTACTTCTTTAGGAACACTGATAAAATGATGTTAAAGCCATAGGTTTTTGAACATGTACAGACGGTTGTGTGGAAAAAAAAAACGTAAGCTGATTTCCATAGGAGCTAATGCTAAAATTTAGAGACTGAGATTGTCCTTTATCCAAACTACCTGGGACCAGAAATATTTTAGCTTTCAGGGTTTTTGGAGCAATTTTGAAATACCTGTATCTGCATACAAACATACATACATACACACACACATGAGATATATAGGAGACATGGACCAAATCTAAATATGAAATTCATTTATGTTTCACATATACCCTATACACCATTAATTCTCAACCTTTTTTTTTTTTAACCAGGACCACTTGAACAGGAGCCACTTTGACCAGGGACCATTCTTTAGATTTGGTTTGGTTGGTTGGGGTGCTGATTCAGGAAATTTCACTGGATATACCACATCAGCTATAGTTTCTGATACAGAACACATACCATACAGTAGTCGTCATTTGCTTGCCCATGGAGAACCATATTTAATAATCTAGAGCTGATGTAATGGTAATTATATTTTGTAGGTAGTCAGCCTCTCCCCTCCCGACTTCCTCATTGCCAAGATGTTAAAGCCATAGGTTTTCACGAGACCAGTCACTCACGTTGCCGCATGGTTTCTAGGCAATGGTTTAGTAATGGTAAGGCCACAAACCATATTTTTGTTCTTGAGGATCACTGGTGGTCCATGGACCACAGGTTGGGAATCACTGCTATACACATAGCCTGAAGCTTCTTTTATACATTTAATAATAATAATTTTGTGCATGAAATCATATTTGTGTACACTGAATAATCAGAAAACAAAGGTTTGCTACCTCAGCCACCAATGTGGATAATTTCAGATTTTGGAGTATTTCAGAATGCCAAATAAAAGCTGCTCAATCTATATTACAGTGGTTCTTAACCTGTGGGCTGCGGGCCACCAGTGTCCACGAGGACAAAAATCTGGTTCACAAGCCTCCTTCCTCCTTATTTATTTTACTTTATTTATTTGTTTTCCACTCCTTTAGCCCCACCTGCCACTGCTTCCTTGTCCCTGACCATGGAATATGTTCTGTATCAGAAACTAGAGCTGATGTGGTCTATCCAAAGCAATTTTCCGACTCAGCATCCCAAACCAAATCTAAAGCTGACCAAAAACTGATTCATAACCCTTTTGGTACTAATGTTGGAGAGTGGCCCCTTGTCAAAGTGGTCCTTGGTCCAAAAAAGGTTGGGAACCACTGCTGTATTAGTTAGGCTTAATATTGCTGCTCATATTCATTTTCTCTCACTTTTTATTTTGTAGGGCTCTTAAAATGATATTACAACGTACCTGGTATACTCTATAGGATGTCCCCTTCTGTGCAGGTGTGACAGTCATAGGATAAGAGCCACTGCAAGCAGAGATATCCATTCCTTCTACAGAAATCACACTTCTTGATGGTTCGGACATATTCGACATATTTATCATGCTATTATAACTCTGAAAGGCAACCACGTTTTTCTTGAAGAGGTTTAGGGCTTTGTGTGATTCCACTGCTGAAGATGAGTGAACACGAGTCTGTGTTTCGGTTGCACTTTTCACACTCCTGTCCTGATCATGTTGCTGTTTGCTCTCCTGGAGAGCGCGCTTCTCATCACCTCTTGAGCAACATGGGGATGTTGTGGACCCAACCTCTGTTTTTGCTTCCTCAAAGGTAACATCTTTAATGCTCCTGTCTAAATGACTGTCTGCAGTAGACACTTCTGGGAGGGACAGATCCGAGTCCAGGCTCATACTTGCCAAAGGCTTCTCATCATCAATGCACAAGAAACTGGAGTTAGCGTGTTCCTTTTTGCCATTTTTTTCACAATCTGCATCTAAATAATCCAAGAGATTCTTAGCTATAAAAGGAGTGGCTGCTTTGCTGCCTTGATTTTGGTGCGTCCAACTGCAATCTTTGGCTTGGCCACTGTCTGTACAAGTCTTTTGCAAACATCCACCAAATGTAAGGCAATCGATTTCAGATGTTAAGCCTGTGCTCTGTTTTTCAGGGATTTCGGTGATTTTACAGCCACGTTTGAAATCTGCATTCTTTTTTTTAACAAGGAAAGATTCTTGAGAAGGGCTGGTGTCAACCAACCCAAAGCGTCTTTTGACACCTGGCATCTCTACCATCGCTTCCTCTTTTCTTTCCTTCAAAAGATTGCTGGAGTTCAGAGGGGACAGCTGGTCATTAGAGGATTTTGCTGCTGTCGCCTCTGCCAGGGCAGGTTTTCCTGTACAGCTCTTTCCTTCCCATTCTATATATTCCGAGAGACATTTTCGGACCAAATCTTTGACATCACAATTTCTTACAGATATTTCAGGTGCATTAAAGGATTCAGTTCTTTCACAAATCCTGTTCCCTGATTCATTGCTGCTAATGGGAGAGATGGCACACTCCAGAGCCTTTCGCTTCAAGCCTTTAATACCATTGGTAAGCAATAAATCTGTATTCTTCGGTGTTTCTGATATAACTCCTTTGCCTGAGGTAGACAAGAGTGCATCTTCTGCTTCCTGAAAATTAAGTATTGGTGTTTACAAACATGATGACACAAGTAATAAATAATAATAATAATAATAATAATAATAATAATAATAATAAATCTCATTTGCTGCGACATACTGTGTTTTTGTGTCAATAAAATAATAATAATAACTTTATTATTGTATCCTGCCTCCATCTCCCTGAAGGGACTCAGGGAGTGTATCTTCTGCTTCCTGAAAATTAAGTATTGGTGTTTACAAACATGACACATAAGAATAATAATAATAATAATAATAATAATAATAATAATAATAACAACTTTATTATTTATCCCGCCTCCATCTCCCTAAAGGGACTCAGGGCGGCTTACATGGGGACCAAGCCTAATATAAACAAAGTTTACAAAGTAACACAATTAAAAACATATAACAGTAAAATATATTAAAACCATAAAACCAATAAAATGTAAGACATCATAAAACATAAACCAAACATCAAACAACCAGTAGCCGAGAAAAGTGGGCACATGCAGATTTGAGACTAATAGAGCAGGACAATGGTTTGTGCAAACACAAACTGTAGGGCCAGGGCTGAGAATAAAGTGCTGGAGATCCAACCCTAAGATTAGGGCTAGGCAGATTTAATCAGTAGCTAAACCATTATTCAAAGGCACATTGGAACATCCATGTCTTCAAGTATTTCTGGAAGGTGGACAGGGTGGGGGCTAACCAAATCTCCCTGGGAAGAGAGTTCCAGAACTCTTAAAGAAGAGCTCAGTTAAATAATTCTGGAGATATTGTCAACCAAAAAATGGTTTCTCCTAGTTCAGGAGTATTATCCTATGAAGGATGTGTGTGTGTTCAGTTGTACATACAGTGAGGAAAGGAGACACATGCCCTCTGTCATTTGAAGCAACCCTTAGAGGGTGCTTGAGTATACAGGAAAGATCCCCTTAACACCTGGAGAACTAAAAATTCAAGAGAAGGGAAATGAGCAAGAAAAGTATATCTGCTCATCAACGTCTTACAGGACTATCATGCCTCAGGGCGAATTTTTAAGACGTCTTTGGAATGTCTCACAGCCCCAGAGTGAACCTTTGAATCATTTATTTTGAGCAACTCAGAGGAAGCAAAGCCCCAAGAGAAGGAAAGCAGGACGCCTGACCTGAACGTCTTTCTCCCACCGGGGGCTGCTGCAGCACTCAGATTCCATGCTGGACAATTGCGTGCGGGAAAGGCTGCTGGCGCTGGAAGTCCCATACCTTTTTCTGGACTGAAGCAGAGTCGGGGTCAGGCACCTTGCTGGAATGGTAGGTGTTATGACAGAAGCATCGAGGCCTTCAGGGGGAAAAGAATCATTTTTGAAAGAAATCAATATGCACCATTTAATTTCAGAACATACTAATGGTAGTATGAGAATTAGATAATGATCTGACATAAAGCAGATATAGTGTGCTGCCTGTGTAGTTTTACATCCTCTCACTACTCAGTCAGTTGCTAGGCCCTAGAAGAAGCATTGATGGGGAAAGGCTGGGGCACTTGGCGCTCAGCTGCAGGCACTGGTGCTTTGGGCCTGCGAGCCACACACACACTCTCCTTGGAAAGAGAGTGCGTATGTGGCATGCAGGCCCAGAAAGCACCACACCCGCCAGTGCCATTTTCAGGAGAGGTGCTTGAAAACGAAAACAAGGTCTTACAAATGAAACAAACAGAAATAGATAGTGATTCTATACAAATGCACAAGACTAATAAGAAACAGCCGCCGCCACCTCTCCTGCAACTTGGCAACTGTGGGGAAATTTCTGGAGAGGACACAAGCCCAAGAGAACAGTCTGAGTTCTATAAAAAAAAGATATACGGGATATGCACACAAGTCCCAAACAATTTTTATCCACAATGCTTAACTGTCAGCTTGGCTCTTCTGACTGCAAAGGATCACCCCCTTCATTATTTCATACTTTCTGATTTTTTTTAAAAAATTAGGATATTCTATAGATAACGTAACAAAAGGAAAAACGTGCTAAGAAAGTTAGTAAAATATAGCACATTAAAAATCTGTTCTCAGGTACTATCAATCGCATCAAATTATAAGAAAGGGGGGGGGGGCGGCGGAAAGAATAACATACTAATGGGAGTATGGTTACTCCTCTACTCTTCACTCTAGACTTTCCCTAATAATAAGGCTGCTAGATTTTTGTCACAGACTTGAGTGATTTGTGCAAAACAATATTGGAATCTGAACACCTCCTGTTAAAGATCTAGTGCTTGGCCACTATATCTCTTTGACTTTTTAGCTAGAGGAAATTTAGGAGTCGCAGTACACAGATAACATGATCTGGCCTTTACAAATCTTTCCAAGGCAGCTTACAAAATAGAAATATGTCATTATAATAGTGAAATAACACGCATGCATTGAACAGCAAAACAACGGACAAAACCAGTGTAAAATCAATCAAGATTTAAAAACCTTCAGTGTGGGTACATTCCCAGAAACACTATGGAGAGCTTTCCATAAATGGCACAACCACCAGAAGACCCATTTTTGGGTGGTTGTTAGGGAAAACTCCCAAAAACACAGCAGAGCGTCCAAAATACAGACAGGATACTTATAGTTGAGCATTCAGTTTACAGAAAGCAAAGCGTGATGTGTAGTGGCTGGAAAATAATTTAGAGCTTAGGAAACAAAGATACAGAGCTCAATCCTTAAAATTACAAAAGGTTTATTTACACTGATAATAACAAATAAAGTCATTCCAACTGTTATTCAGGAGTCAGGGGGAAGGGATTCCCTCAGACTATTCTAAAGCTAACTAACTGTTCATCATTAAGGATTGCAGACTTGGGCAGTGTGGGGTTCAATTCCTACAGTTATTTACTAAAGTTCTCATTGAGAGGAGAATTTGCAACATCAAAAGCTGTGATGATTATTCTTTATATAGCCCAATTCATGTGCAGATAAGCAATTCTTTGATCTGTAAAAATACTTACATGCTCTCAGGAGTTTATTTGATGCAGCTGGGCAGTCTTTTTGACTTACAGATAAGGGGGAAACAAGCCCTTGAGAAATCTGAGACATGTCTGCACAGATAGGACTTGGACTAGGTGTGTGCACTTTTCCTCCAACTGGAGTTTGCTGTCAAGACGACAAAAACATTTTCAAAAGATACAAGTAATCAAAACTATTATAAAAAAATAAGAATTACAATTTCATACTTCAGTAATGAACTTAATACTACTGACTCTTTACAACAGAATGCCCTTACAACACACTTTATAGAAAAGAGGATACAATGTGGCACACAGAACTCCCACGACCAACACAAAATACTGGAAGGGTTTAGTGGCCGTTGATCTCGAGTTCTGGAGTTGTATTTCACCTGCATCCAGAGAGCACTGTGGACTCAAACTATGATGGATCTGGACCAAACTTGGTACAAATATTCAATACGCCCAAATGTGAGCACTAGTGGAGTTTGGGGAAAATCGATTTGACATTTGGGAGTTGTAGTTGCTGGGATTGATAGTTCACCTAGTTTTCTGATGGTCTTTGGCGACCCCTCTGACACCCCCTTGTGACCCCCCCCCCACCGGCTCCCGACACCCAGGTTGAGAAACACTGAACTCTCTGCCCCGGAGTGTGGTGGAGGCTCCTTCTCTGGAGGCTTTTAAACAGAGGCTTGATGGACATCTATTAGGGGTGCTTTGTATGCTATTTTCCTGCTTCTTGGCAGGGGGTTGGACTGGATGGCCCACAAGGTCTCTTCCAACTCTATGATTCTATGATTTACTACCACCTACCAAGGTGGAGAACTCAGTGAGTGATGTGAGAAACTGCCCAGTTATTCCAAAGACAAAGCAGCTCCCCAGGGAATAAAGAAGAATCAATTTTGCACAGAACTAAGGACATGGTTTGTTCAGTTCTTCTTAGAGCCATTTTAAGACAAGCAGGGAAGTCTCCTGAAGAGAACACCAGAACAACACTTTGATGAGTGTGAAAAGTACAAAGTGAAATAGAAAGTTTGTGGCTTTCCAGATGCAGCTTGACTACAGCTCCCAGCCTCCCATAAGTTGCAGTCCTTCACCCTTTGGAGGTTCACTTAATTCCCACTCCAGGCATAGAGGAAATTCATCTGAATACATACAAAACCAAAAGAGCTGATGAGAGACAAAACTTGTCCAGGGGTGCGTGAATAGTCTTGCTTTGGTTTTGCCATGGATGGTGTTGTAAGGATATCCATCATATTGAGGTCTGAGTAGAAAAAAAATAATAACATGTTTTATTATCATTTAATCAACAAAATATCACACTGATTAAAATGCTCTCCTATTATTCACTCTGGATCTGACTCAGACCTTGCAAGACCAACAGACATGCCAGGAAGTGGGGGAGGGAAGCATTAATATACTATTCACACCAACACAGAATTTATATTATAACTACAGAAGTTGGCTTGAAAACAGAAGCTGTACACCTCTGTCCGCTTTCTTGTCCGCTGCGTCTACTTGCCTCTCAGACCCCTTCTACACAGTTGAATAAAATCTCGCATTATCTGCTTTGAATTGGAATATATGGCAGTGTGGACTCAGATAAATCAGTTCAAAGCAGATATTGTGGGATTTTCTGCCTTTATATTCTGGGTTATATGGCTGGGTGGAAAGGCCCTCTGAGCAATGCAACACTTTCTTCTGTGTCACTCAAGGAAGTGTGACTGGTCATATTTTCTGGAGTGACTTGAAAGTGAGCATTATGTCAGTGGTTCTCAACCTGGGGTCCCCAGATGTTTTTGGCCTACAACTCCCAGAAATCCCAGCCAGTTTACCAGCTGTTAGGATTTCTGGGAGTTGAAGGCCAAAAACATCTGGGGACCCCAGGTTGAGAACCACTGCATTATGTCATTCTGAAATGCTGGTGGACACAGCAAATAGAGGTAGATGCATCAAGTACAAAACCCTGTGACAGACATTGCAATAAATAACAAATACAATTGTGCCATTGCCTTGTTCCTCACATTCTCCAAAAATAATTGGCATCATAATAATTTGCAACACACAATCTCTAAGCTCTTCAACACTCCCATTCCTCTTGGACCCTCAACACCAAATGCTGGTTCTGTTGCACTGGATTGTTACAATCTATTTGGGACATAAAAAGTGTGGGATATAAATCTAAAAATGGGTAAATAATGTTATAGAGATACACCTGCATCTATCAGCAGAGCTCACTAAAAGCCAAAGTATTACTTTGCTCAAATTTCATAAATGTCATTTTGGAAATTACTTTTAAAGGTCACCATTGTTTTAAAGTTTGTTTAATAATAATAATACGAGGATTTAAAGATTGAACTGCAAAGACTCTGGCATAAGCCAGTACAGGTGGTCCCAGTGGTGATCGGCATATGGGGTGCAGTGCCTAAAGACATTGGCCTGCACTTAAAACACAATCGGCGCTGACAAAATTACCATTTGTCAATTGCAAAAGGCCACCATACTGATCTGCACGCATTATTCGCTGATACATCACACAGTCCTAGACACTTGGGAAGTGACAGACAGCACAGTGATCTTGTTTGCTGTGTACTAATCTTGTTGTGTTAACAATAACAACAACAACAACAATAATAATCTATTTCTAGATTATTACCTCTCTCCCAAAAATGGACTCAGGGTGGTTTACAATACGCAAACAGGCAAACATTCAATGCCTTACAAAGTAACAAACAATATCAGGAGTAATACAAAATAATTCACAATAATAATAGTAAACTTATAATGAAAGAATTAAACATTGAAATGGGGACTTGGTAGTAATAAACCAATTAGATAATAAACTAGGATATTTGTAAACATATAAATATATATACATATATATAAAGTTGTATAAATATATATACATATATATAAAGTTGAAATGAGTTCCAACTTCTCTCCAGACTTGCAAACCAGTTGCACCACTGTTTGGACCTAGGTTACATTCTACAGATACAAAATGCATATTTTAAATGTGTTTATGGATGAAATAATATTGGCTATTGTATCTAAGAGTAAACATTCTCATATTTGGGAAAGCTCTCTTTTTCTTATGTACACATGAACACATATACACAGACATATATATAATGATGTTACCTCTGTTCAGTGTAACTTTGGACAATCCAAAATCTGTCAATTTAATATGACCCTGATTAGAAATCAACATGTTGTCTGGTTTCAGGTCCCTGCAATGATTAAGAAAATTAAATAAATATGAGATACATAAATGGGGTTTCTCTCATGGCCTCAAATAAGCTTGTTTCAGGAGCACCCTTAACAAAAATCATTCTACACCATAACGTTCCATAGTATATGTCAATTATCTATTGATACTGATTGTATCTGTGCTGACTTGGTAGCTCTACACACCAGGGACACTTTCACACGACAACTCAAGCATTATGATTCCACTTTAAGGACCATGTTACCATATGGAAATGTGAATTTTGCAGCAGGTTGTTGTTGTGGGCCTTCAAGTGATTTGTAACTTATGGTGACCCTAAGGTGCACCCAAAAAAGCCTTCTCCTATAATCCCACCAATGGGCTAGTGAAAGTAGTAGGATAAAGACAAGGGCCTCTGCAGCCGATCTCAAAACAGACTCATATGGACCTGAGTCATTTCAGAAGCTAATTAGTTCAGTCCTTTTTAGATTAGAAACTCCTCAGGCTGACCAGGGGCTCTTCCACACAGCCCTATATCCCAAAATATAAAGACAGAAAATCCCACATTATCAGAGTGTGGACTCAAATAACCCAGTTCAAAGCAGATATTGTGGGATTTTCTGCCTTGATATTCTGGGATATAGGGCTGCGTGGAAGGGCCCCAGGATGGGATGCATCAAAAAAACCTCAATGAAACAAATCTTACCTGTGGATTATCCCATGTCTGTGAAGGTAATCTAGAGCCAGGGCTACCTCAGAAATATATTTCACGGCCACATCTTCATCAAAATAGCCATATATGTGAAGAAGAGATTTAACATCTCCCCCAATGAGATACTCCATTACCTGTTAATGAAAAACATTACAGTAAAAATTTTTCATATTACTCTTAGTTCATGGCAACAGCTGGTCCTTATTCTTGTTGTGAACGGACAACCAGAGGTGATAGAAGTAAACAAATCACATTCCTCATACTTCTTAAAACTTATTATTTTTTCCTTTTTAAAATATCCCTTTGTTAAAAATTCCAATTTCTGAACTTCTTGCTCTTTATAAATAGCTTTTACGAAAATTTCCAAAGTCAATCTACTATATTACACTCATGTATACATTATCTTCATGTGAAAGTCAAGAGCAGGCTGGTTACAGGGAACTTGAGCATATATTGTAATTTTGACTTCTGTATGCCTTGTTGCCTTTCCCAAGCAAGCAACACCGAGGGCCCTTCCAGACAGGCCCTATATCCCAGCTTTTCTGTTTATCCCAGATTATCTGGCAGTGCCGTCTCAGGGCCCTTCCACACAGCCATATAGCCCAGAATTTCAAGGCAGATAATCCACAATATCTGCTTTGAACTGGGTTATCTGAGTCCACACTGCCATATAATCCAGTTCAAAGCAGATAATGTGGGCTTTTATACAACTGTGTGGAAAGGGCCTCATATAACCCAGTTTAAAGCAGAAAACCTGGGATCAGATCCTGAGATATAGGGCCTGTCTGGAGGGGCCCTGAGAAAAGATCTCTCTTATTGCTCAAGGAGAGTGCAGAGGAGGATAAACTAATTATTTAAAATAAATATCAGAAACCGAACACAAACTAATATTTGGAAGAAAAAAATAACTTACAAATATTATTATTATTGTTTTTATTTATACCCCATTTATCTCCCCCAAAGGGGACACAAAGCAACTCAACATAAAAGCACCAACATAGCCATTTAAAATATACAAATATACAAGCATTCAAATAGGATTAAATATAAATAGTATTTTTAAAATTCCCAGTTAAAAATCGTCACAACAAACTCAAAGTTAAAAACCACAGCACCCCTTGAATTTATCTTAAACACTATCATCTTTAAAAGCCTGCCTGAATAAAAAGGTTTTAGCTTGCCACCGGAAGAACAGCAGGCAGGAGGCTCTTGTGACTTTCCTGGGCAGGACGTTCCAAAGTTGAGGGGCGGCCACCAAGAAGGCCCTCTTTCTCGGTCTTACCAACCTTGCTTGATGGAGGTAGGACCGAGAGATGTTCCTCTCATGAAGATATCAGGCCCAGGCAGGTTCATACAAGGGGGTGCAGTCAGCTAAATGCCCTGCACCTGAAATGTCTAGGGCTTTAAAGCTCATAACCAGGACTTTGAATTGTGCCCGGTAACAGACTAGCACCCAGTGGAGCTCCCTGCAGCCAGCCCCAGTTAGCAACCTCTTTGGGCCAGCTAAAGTTTCTGAGCACTCTTCAGAGACAGCCCCATGTAAAGTGCATTACAGTAGTCCAGATGGGATGTAACTATGGCATGTACCACCATAGCCAGGTCTGTCTTCACAAGGAATGCGCGCAGTTGGCGCAGAAGTTTCAATTGTGCAAAGGCCCTCCTGACCACCTCCGAAACCTGGGCCTCCAGGTTCAGCACTGAGTCCAGGAAAACCCCCAAACTGCAAACCTGTGTCTTCAGGGGAAGTGTGATCCCATCCAGCACAGGCTGGATCCCTATTACCTGATCTGCTTTCCAACTAACTAGGAGTACCTCTGTCTTGTTTGGATTAAGTTTCCATTTGTTTGCCTTCATCCAGTCCATTACTGATCTGGGGTTGACAAGATTGAAGCACAGACCATGAGGAATTGGTCCTCCCATGGATTTTACTTTTTTTATCATATCAGAAGCAAACCAAGGGAACAGTTGTAATGTATTTTAAAAACACAAGGTTTAAAAAATTGGCATTATATTAAATGTCCTTTGACCAGTAGCTGGTCACTTCGAGTGCCTCTGATGTTGCTATAAGAAGCTCCTCCATTGTGCATGTGGCAGGGCTCAGGCTGTATTGTAATAGGTGGTCTGTGATTTGTTCTTCTCCACACTCGCATGTCGTGGACTCCACTTTGTAACCCCATTTCTTAAGGTTGGTTCTGCATCTCTTGGTGCCAGAGCACAGTCTGTTCAGCACCTTCCAAGTCACTCAATCTTCTTTGTGCCCAGGAGGGAGTCTCTCATCCAGTATCAGCCATGGGTTGAGGTTTTAACCTGACACTTTTGGATTCTCACTTGCTGAGGTGTACCTGCAAGTATCTCTGTAGATCTTAGAAAACTATTTCTTTATTTAAGGCAGAGACTGTAATGATCCAAAAAGCTACAGACAAATAAAAGTCAAGGTTTGTACGTGTGCCATGGTGTATGTGGCAGCTTTCTGATTGGCTGCCACTTCCACCGGACACTGCGACCCCCACAAATGATGGACTTGGACCAAACTTGGCATCCAGGACTCCCATGATATACCTCATGTCCTGGTGAAGTTTGGGGGAGGATGGGCCACAGATGATGGGATTTGTAGTATTTTCAATCGCTTCCACTCCCACAGATCACTGTGACCCCCACTAATGACAGATCACAACCAAACTTGTCACACAGAGTTCCCATGACCAACTCTACATCCTGGTACGGTTTGTGGAACAATGGACGAAGGGACTTGCAATACCTTCAGTCACTTCCTGAGACCACTGTGACCCTCACCAATGACTGATCAAGACCAAACTTGGCACACAGAGCCCCCATGATCCACTCTACATCCTGGTACAGTTTGTAGGATGATGGCCCATGGATGATGGGACTTGCAATACCTTCGCTCACTTCCTGAGACCACTCTGCCTCCCACCAATGACTGATCAAGACCAAACTTGGCACACAGAGCCCCCATGACCCACTCTACATCCTGGTGTGGTTTGGAGGAGGATGGACCATGGACGATGGGACTTACATATGGGAGTTGTAGTTCACCTGCACCCACTGAACCCAAACGACATTGGATCTAGACTAAACTTGGAGCACAGACAAATGATGCCTTTGTCAAACAACCCGGGTACCGCCGGATCACCAAGCTAGTAAACAAATTAAAATAAATAAAAAATAAGGCAGCATGCATCTGGAGTTGACAACATAGAAGCACAGCCTGTGATGCATGCATCCAAAAGAAATACACCCCAGAAGTATCTACAATTGAGCAATTTAGAATTAATTTGGGCCTGGTTTGGTCCAGAAAAAAATATGGGTGATAGTATGATAGCTGGGTTCGGAAGTTCCGAGCGTTACGGAGATGCCGCAAAGGCAGCTGTCAAAAAGGGAATAGAGGGGGCGGAGTAAGAGCGGGGAGAGCGAAGGAAGGATAGAAAGGAGGGGACGCTTAGAGTAAGGGTTAGGGCAAGGTTTAGGGTTTGGGTTAGGTTTACGGTTAGGGTAAGGTTTAGGGTCTGGGTTAACGTAAGGTAAGGTTTGCGTTAACTTAAGTGTTAGGGTAAGGTTTAGGGTTTGGGTTAGGTTTAGGATTAAGGTAAGGTTTAGGGTCTGGGTTAACGTAAGTGTTAGGGTAAGGTTTAGGGTTTGGGTTAGGATTAAGGTAAGGTTTAGGGTCTGGGTTAACGTAAGGTTTAGGGTAAGGTTTAGGGTTAGCGTAAGTGTTAGGGTAAGGTTTAGGGTCTGGGTTAACGTAAGGGTTAGGGTAAGGTTTAGGGTCTGGGTTAACGCAAGGGTTAGGGTTTGAGTTAACATAAGTGTTAGGGTAAGGTTTAGGGTTTGGGTTAGGATTAAGGTAAGGTTTAGGGTCTGGGTTAACGTAAGGGTTAGGGTTAACGTAAGTGTTAGGGTAAGGTTTAGGGTTAGGTTTATGCTTAGGGTAAGGTTTAGGGCCTGATTTAACGTAAGGGTTAGGGTAAGGTTTAGGGTCTGGGTTAACGCAAGGGTTAGGGTTTGAGTTAACGTAAGGGTTAAGGTAAGGTGTAGGGTTTGTGTTAGGTTTAGGGTTAACGTAAGGGTTAGGGCTTGGGTTAGGGTATGGTTTAGGGTTTGGGTTAACGTAAGAGTTAGGGTAAGGTTTAGGGCTTAGGCTTACGGTACGGTTCAGGGTTAGGGTTTCACCATGAAAGAAGTCTTCCATTCCTTCTTTATTATCTGTCTCCGGCCTGGCTTACATCAGCTAAGTCTCTCTTGCACAAACAATGCTCTCGGAGGAGCAATGCAGCATCTCCTAATGCTTGGAGCTTCCGGACCCAGCTATCATATTATTACCAAAATAATGTGATAAGATGGCCAATTCTCTCACACCAGAAGCGACTTGCAGTTTCTCAGGTCGCTCCTGACACGACCAAAAAAAATACCAAAAAAATGTGTGTGCACTCCATGTACGAAGACTTTACTCACCAAATAGACATTGTTTGCAGACTGGAGGGAGTAGTATAAGTGGACAATGAAAGGGCTTTTACTAAGAGCCAGGGCGTCTCTCTCTGCCTGTACTTGATGGACCATATTCTTGTGGATAAGATCGGCTTTCTTTACCACCTGCAAAGCAAGGCACACATACATGTGGTCTCTCTTTCCCTGGATTCCCCTCCTGCCTCTCTCCCAGAAAGGCTGCTGCTCCCCTCCCACCTTGACGGCGTAGAGCTTCCCGCCCTTGCGGCCCAGGTAGACCTTCCCGAAGGCGCCACGGCTGATGGGCTTCAGGATGGCGAAGTCCTGGATGGAGGGCGGCCGGGGCCTCTCTGCCTGGGGCCCTTCGCCCGAGCTCTTTTGGGCCTCGCCGGCCTCCATCGCCTTCCAGCGCCCCCCTCCCGCGCTTCCCCTCTCTCTCCCCTTCCGCAGCTTCTCCCCGCGACAATTCAAAGCTAAGCCCCGCCCCCTCGACTGCCTACGTCACGCGTCAACAGAAAGGAACGCGTGACGTGGCTCTCGCTCAGCCCATTCCTAGAGAGAGAGGTGATAGGGAAACAGCGCTGCTCCTCCACATGTCCGGTTTCGTATTAACTAGCAAGCAAAAAAACTCAAAAATTACAGCAGCAAAACAACAGAGCGGAAACAAACAGGCACATGAAATCACTCTCAACAAAAGATTCCCCCCAAGCGCTTCCAAGCCATTGAATGCAAATCAAGGTGATCAGCTGAAACATTCATAGCTAGCCCCAACAAACAAAAGTCCTTTGTCTCACCCTGGTCATTCCACAGATATATAAACCCATTTTTCCTAGTTCCAACAGACCTCATTACCTCTGAGGATGCTTGCCATAGATGCAGGCGAAATGTCAGGAAAAAAATTGCCTCCAGAACATGGCCATATAGCCCGGAAAAACCTACAACAACCCAACTCCTATTCTCTCTCTCCTCTGCCTCTATTCCCCCATTGGACTTCAGTTCGCAGAATTCCCGGCTGTTGGCTAAGATGGTAGGGGATTCTGGGAGTTGAAGTTCAAAACAGCTGGAGAGCAAAGTTTGGAGACCACTGACTACATGGGCATTCCAGCCTCTAGGGCTGCACCTGCGCTGTAGAATTAATGCCCAGAAAATCTACAACAACCCAGAATTAATGCAGTTTGTTTATATATTTATTTTCCACTTTATCTCTCCATAAGGAGACTCAAACTGGCTCACAATCTATCTATATAAATAAAAATGTAATGTTCGTTTGTGGGATTAACATAACTCAAAAACCACAGGACAAATTGCCGCCAAATTTGGCCACAAAACACCTACTAACCCAAGGAGTGACCATCAATAAAAAAATTATTTTGTCATTTGGGAGTTGTAGTTGCTGGGATTTATAGTTAACCTACAATCAAAGTGCATTTTGAACTCCACCAACAATGGAATTGAACCAAACTTGGCACACAGGACTCCCATGACCAACAGAAAAAACTAAAAGGTTTTGGTGGGCATTGACCTTGAGTTTGGGAGTTGTAGTTCACCTACATCCAGAGAGCACTGTGGACTCAAACAATGATGGATCTGGACCAAACTTGGCACTGATACTCAAAATGCCCAAATATGAACACAGATGGAGTTTGGGGGAAATAGACCTTGACATTTGGGAGTTGTAGTTACTTAGATTTATAGTTCACCAACAATCAAAGAGCATTCTGAAGCCCACAAACGACAGAATTGGGGCAAATTTCCCACACAGAACCCCCATGACCAACAGAAAATACTTAAGGCCATCCAGTCCCTTCACCGGGGCAAGAAAACATAATCAAAGCCCTCCTGACAAAGAGCCATCCAGCCATAGATATAGATAGATAGATATGATTCACACACACAGATATAGTATCATAGATTTGAAAGGGACTCCTAAAGATGGACAATTATATGTTGAATGTTCCGGAGTAGGCAAACCAGACCATCTCTAAATCAACACTGACAAAGAAACAGCAAGAAATACTGTTTACCCATAAGCATAAAGAAATTACATATATTAGAAACCAACACTTTCTCATTACCTTATTTTCCAGATCACCACACTGGGCCACAGCAACGCGTGGCAGGGGACAGCTAGTTAAAAATAAAGTCTAGTTGTGTCCAACTCCAGGGAGATGGTGCTTATCTCAATTTCTAAGCTGAAGAACCAGCGTTGTCCATAGACACCTCCTAGTTCAGTGTTTCTCAACCTTCCCAATGCCGCGACCCCTTAATACAGTTGTGGTGACCCCCAACCATAAAGTTATTTTTGATAGGACTGACAGGACTGACAATTGTGGAATTGGAATTTGAACTATGAGAGTGCGAAACGCTGACTGTCAATGAGGAGAAATGGTTTGTATTGGTTTTATTGCTTTTACTGGTTTTATGGTTATTTTCGCCTTGCAAGAATTGTTGTTTCTGTTAATTGATGTTATTGCTAGAATTGCTGTTTTCTGTTCATTGATGTTATTTTGTTTTATTGTTGTCATGTGATGCGGGCATCAAATTGTGCCTTGCTTTTGTAAGCCGCCCTGAGTCCCCTTCGGAGTGAAAAGAGCGGGGTAGAAGCAACCGAAATAAATAATAACTAAATGGCAGTAGAAGTGGTATCCATTCCAGCTGTGAAGATGTGCCCTCATTTCATTCACCAGGCTTTCTAGGGGAGAGTTCCTCCCCTAAAAAAGAACAAGTTACTTTGTTCCCCCCCCCCCCCCCCCCCCCCGTAACAAAGTACCAATCTACTTTGACGGAAAGAAGAGGGAGGGAGGGGAAAGAATTGTGTGTGGGACAGAAAGCGGAAGTGAGGCCTAGGTGAGGCCTGCGAGGCGCATCCGGAGCAGGGCAATTTCCGGAAGTGACGTCGGCGCGTAGATCGGCGTTCGTCCCTCCGCCTGTGCCGGCAGCAGGAGGCGGCCATTTTCCAACCGAGCGGAGCAGCCGCTCCCGAGTCGCGTTAGTGGTCGAGGACGGGCCCGGAAGCCGAGAGGCCGCCGGGAGGGGTGCCTCCGAGGCCGGCCACCGGGCAAGATGTTTTCTTTCTCTACCACGGTGCAGCCTCAGGTAAAGACAGGCCCGGGGGTGGGCCCATTGCCTCGCACAGGAAGCCGCTCTTTTGTCTAGGGTAATGAAGGCCCCTCAGGATGCCGAGCAGAGGAAGGAGAAGAAGGATAAGGGGGGAGGAAGGAGGGAGGGAGCACCCTTCGTGACTTCACTGCCAAGGCTCCATGCTATGAAGTCATCCACACTGCAGAATAATGCTAATTCTTCTTCTTACTGGTATTATTGTTACTATTATTATTATTATTTTAACTGCCATGGCTCCATGCTATGAAATCATTCACACAGCAGAATAATTCTAATTCTAGTTACTCTTCTTACTATTATTACTATTATTTTAAGTGCCATGGCTCCATGCTATGAAATTATTCACATCGCAGAATAATTCTAATTCGTTTTACTCTTCTTACTATTATTATTATTTTAACTGCCATGGCTCCATGCTATGAAATTATTCACATTGCAGAATAATTCTAATTCTTTTTACTCTTCTTACTACTATTACTATTATTATTTTAACTGCCATGGCTCCATGCTATGAAATCATTCACACCGCAGAATAATTCTAATTCTTTTTATTATTATTATTATTATTATTATTATTATCATTATCATTATTATTTTAACTGCCATGACTCCATGCTATGAAATCATTCACACCACAGAATAATTCTAATTCTAGTTACTCTTCTGACTACTATTACTATTATTACTATTATTTTAAGTGCCATGGCTCCATGCTATGAAATCATTCACACCGCAGAATAATTCTAATTCTAGTTACTCTTCTTACTACTATTACTATTATTACTATTATTTTAAGTGCCATGGCTCCATGCTATGAAATCATTCACACCACAGAATAATTCTAATTCTAGTTACTCTTCTTACTATTATTGTTATTATTATTATCTTAACTGCCATGACTCCATGCTATGAAATCATTCACACCGCAGAATAATTCTAATTCTTTTTATTATTATTATTATTATTATTATTATTATTATTATTAACTTTATTTGTACCCCACTAGCATCTCCCGAAGGACTCGATGCGGCTTACAAAGGCCAAGGCCTCAAAACACAACATAACAATACAAAAACCTAAAGCAAATTAAAAACAATTAAAGCAATATTAAACAACAGGCAATAAATAATACACCAAGACACAATAAAACTGGGCCGAATACATAACGAATACAACAATAAAACTCATAAAGCAAACCAATAAACATTAAAGCAATAACAGTAAAACGTCAAAACAATGCATCATGACACATTTAAAACGAGGGCCGGGCCAAATGTAATGAATAAATTAAAAGTGCTGGACATGACAGGTGAAATGTAAGGATTTTGGGGTAGGTGCGATGTGCAGGCAATCTTAAATCTCTGGTAAAGTGCATTTGGGACATGATGCTGGGAGTTTCCTATTCTGGAAAGGCACACTGGAACAGCCAGGTCTTCAAGCTCTTCCTAAAGACTGCCAATGTTGGGGCTTGTCTGATGTCCTTGGGGAGAGAGTTCCAGAGTCGGGGGGCTACCACAGAGAAGGCCCTGCCCCTTGTCCCTACCAAACATGCTTGCGACGCAGGTGGGATTGTGAGCAGGGCCTCTCCAGATGAACGGAGGGATCGTGTGGGTTCATATACGGAGATGTGGTCACGCAGGTAGGCGGGTCCCAAACCGTTTAGGGCTTTGTAGGTGAGCACCTGCACCTTGAATTGGGACCAGAAAATGAACGGCAGCCAATGGAGCTCCTTAAATCATTCACACCGCAGAATATTTCTAATTCTAGTTACTCTTCTTACTGTTATTACTATTATTGTTATTTTAACTGCCATGATTCCATGCTATGAAATAATTCATACGGCAGAATAATTCGAATTTTTCCTCTTACTCTTTGTCTTCCTATCATTATTGTTATTATTTTAACTGCAGTAGCTCCATGCTATGAAATCATTCACTCTGCAGAATAATTCTAATTCTTCTTCTTACTCATTTTTTTAATATTGTTATTGTTATTGTTTTAACTTCCATGGCTTCATGCTATGAAATCATTCACATGGCAGAATAATTCTAATTTTTTACTCTTCATACTATTATTATCTTTTCTTCCTATTATTATTATCATTATATGGCTCCATGCTATGAAATAATTCACATTGTAGCATTCTTATTTTTCTTCCTATTATTTTTATCATTATTATTACTATTACAATGATTTTAACTGCCAAGGCTCCAGGCTGTGAAATCATTCACATGGCAGAATTCTTCCTCCTCCTCCTCCTATATTATTATTATTATTATTATTATTATTATTATTATTATTATTATTAATATTAATATTATTAA